CAAACCTCTCCACCCAGTGCAGAATCTGAGATGTCTCCAGCTCCGCTGCACTTTTTGTGCCCACCTGAATGTTGACAAATGCCAACCAAAGTGGCATTGTCTGACTGAATCCTGATTGGTAGACTTGTCAGGCGATCTATCCAATGTGTCAGCGACAACTTGATCACCCAAAGCTCCAGGACACTGATGGGCAAGTGAGCTTCTTCAGAGTCCAGCAGCCCTGAGCTGAGTCCAATCTCAGGACTCCTCCCCAGCCCAACAGACTGGCATTTGTTGTGACCACGGTCCAGTGAATGGGGAGGAAGGACTTTCTTTTCCGTACAACCGGAGACCTCATCTACCAAAGAAAGAAGGTCCTCGTCAAACGCTCCAGGTGAATCTGAATGTCCAAGGAGGCGGAAGTTCTGTTCCATTTGGATAGGATTTCTCTCTGCATTGTTCTTGTATGAAACTGGGTATACAGAACCGATTAAAAGGTAGCCACCATCAGGCCTAAAACTCACATGCACCAAACCCAGGCAAGTACACCCCAAAAAGCAGCAGGATTGAACCCCCCCTCCCCAGCCACAGGACTGCACTGGTAGGAGAGGCAGGCTGTGAGGGGCCCGACCATCCAGGTCACCCGGGATGCTGCTGTGCGGGAAGGTGGGGTGAGAGTGGACCCTACCCAACCACCCCACCACCAACTTACCGGTTCAGCGGAGCGTGTGGGTGAGGCTCCCGTGATAGATCCTCCACTCAACCGAAGTGGGGGGCTGTCAGTAAAGGGTAACACTGACATATAGGCGCCCGGTCATATGTGCCCCTGTGAGACATTTAACGTGCTGGGGCATCATCGCGGCCGACCAAGCGTGGAGATAGTGGTCTGCGCGCGCTCGCTGGTCAGACTGGGGTGACCACTGGATCTAGATTATCCAGTCTGTTGCCCAGCCTGACTGTTAATAGAAGATCTTCGTTAGGAAAAACACAATTCCAGGAAAAAAATAAAAGAGAAAAATGAAAAGTCATGGGACCACAAGTCCCAGAAAAAAAAACACATCCATACTTCTGAGAGTAGAGAGGGGATTTTATACCCAGAGGGGACTACCCATAGGAGATTCCGAGTCTTTTTTTCTGCCTTTTGTCCTACTAGGTTGGGCTAAAAACCCTGCATGGTCTTGCATAAATTTGAAGACACTGAGTCCATCAATGAACGTAAAAGAAAAACAATGTTCAGCTTAGGATATCCCTTAATTATATCACCCTGGTATTAGCCAGTTATTAATTAGTCCTACTCTTTGTTCCACCCTCCTTACTCAGCTCCTACAACATTGCAGTGTAAGATTTTCACTTCCTCTGTCCCCTGACTACCTCCACACACATACTACAGTTTATCAATATGCTCATGAGGAAGTAGCTATTTTTAAAGTAAACAGTCGGCTTAGTTGAGGAAACGAAAACCCCATCTAGGTCAGCTGTATGAATTGCAATAATTCTACCAAACACTTCTGGACAAGTTCTGTAGCTAACCATGAAAGTATGGGGTCAGTTCATTCAATAAATTATAGTTGCCCAACTGTCACACTGATCCGGGGGCTTCAATAAGTCTTGATAACATTAAGTGTGTTGTTAGGAGGAGGAACCCAAAAATGTGCTTCCAATGAGATATTTCCAATGCACACGTTCCTAAAAATGGCTGTAAAGTAGGTGGGTGCCTCAGCAACCACTGGTTGGAAACCGGGAAACATACAGGGAAAGAAATATGTCACCAGCACACCAGAGATCTCCAAAACAATGTCCAAATGTTTTATTAAATGATTACGTCACAGTGTAAAAACATCTTGGGGACTCTTTCTCCAGGCATGTGACCTCTGTGAATCTGTTTCTCATCAATTCTCAATTGTGTTAACATGTTTCAGAATGTGGCACTGTTCCTTTTTTTTTTAAGACACCGACAACATATGTTAAGACCAAGAAGAATCAATCTTGTCTATACTGAGTGATCGTCACTATTGCCTCACTATTTCAACCTGCAATCCATGTAAATATTGGTAACATCGCCAAAACCATTGTCTAGGAGCCCTGTATAACAAAATTATCTGCTGGCAGAGAGCCGCTTGCTCCACCAACCAAGCACTGTAGCTGAACTATACATAGAATACACAAAGATATGGGATTTCCAAAGGTGAGCAATATCATATATTTACATCCAGATACTTGCAGTCCACATCTAGATGCACCTTCCTACTTTCAGACAATATTTGCTTTCAAGGTTTGGAAGAGCAGCTCTTTATACAACAGGATATAACTCATATACAAGACTCCCCACATTCAGTGATATACTTAACAGGAAAACTTGCTCTATGCTGTTTTTATGTGGAGGTGGCCATCTCAGTAGGGGCAGGGTTTTGCTTCCTCTTGTCAGAGCTGTGTACCTGATGACATAGGGTAATATTCAAGAGGAAGGAGGAGTGGACAGGAGGCACAGATGTAGAGAGATCCTTGCATTGCAGGTCATCAGATACAGCTTCCTCTTCAGCAAGTAGAACAGTGAACAGCACAGTAATGACATCACCAAATGGCCTCACTCCAAATCTGGGGAGACTAGCAGTCATAGGCAGCAGTTTCTCACACTAGACCTATACAGCAATGAGATTGAGTGCACAAGATGTGCACTACATTATTTCAGTGAAGAATTGCAATAATAAAGTCTAGGTTCACTTTAATAAAAACTTCTACATAAACCCCATGCGTTATGTAGCCCTTTTGAGGTACAATGTTTTCTAGTTAAATCATTATTATAAATGGCTTGGGAAAAAAGGTTTCTCTTTTCTAAAGACATTTTTGTTGTGCTTGGTCATCCTCTGCATTGCTGAATCACCACCTCAGCTGGAATAAGACTTTTATTGCAGCGAGTGGTCATTTATTGGCATCTCATTAGGTTCACTGCTTAGAACAGAGCGTGTCACAACCTTGGAAAACTCAATAGAGACCAATACAAAGAAAAAACACTTGGAATGCCAAGTATGCCAGGGATTTTTTTTATTTTTTCACATGACCAGTTTTTAAAGGGTCAGACTATATTCTGTTAACAATGAAAACTTTCTTTTTGGCAGATGTTGGAAAGTTAACGCTGAACTGAATTCACATTGTGTTCTCAGAGAAGTTGATATAATGTGCAAATTTAGACAGCATGCACACACATTTTGGCAGACTTTCCTTTTGTTCTGTTCTCCTCTAGCAAAGTGAGGTTTTCTCTTCCTCTTGTCACTGCCATCCTCCCGACTGTCCTTCAGCTATATATTTCTGCCACTGTCAAACAACTTTCATATGCATTTTCCGGCACCCAGCTGTTACATACGTCAGGCATGTACTATGTACTACTTAAAACAAACTGTTAGCAGAAAGGGAAAAAATATTTTTTCTGTTTGGTAGAGGACACTACACCTACTGTATCTGCTACAAAAAGGGAATTTGACTGTAAATTCCAAGTCTTGAAGGACAGTACAGGAACGAGGAATTGATTCATAGAGTATGGTATGTCCCCAAGTAATAATCAAGGGGTGGGAAACAATGCAGCTAAACAGTTACAACAGGTCTACAGCTAAACCCCTCCCAAGAAAAAAAAAACCATGGTAAATAGATCCAAACAAACTCTTAGCAGCAGAAGCACTTCTATCCTGGAGAAGGAACAGTGGAAATTCAACAGTTGCCTAGTAACCAACAAAATGGGAGATATTTGAAACAGAATTCAAACGGTGGCTCCACTCAACGTATATAGGCTAAGTGGTATATAGGACCAAGAACCCGACCTCAGCAGGCGAATGGGCTCAGGCAGGGAAGGAGGAACCCAAAGGGCAGGAGCCCCTTTAAAAAAAAAAAAAAAAGGGGGGGTCGAAATGACCACGCAAGTGGTAGAAGCATAGGGAGGAAACTCCAGGAGGACCTTTCTGTAAGGAATTCCAGAGAAAAGTGGGGCAGGTCCTATGGGAGCCATGAAAGTCATGCCTTACCCCTAATCCCAAAAAAAGGAGAAAAAAAAAAAAAAAAAAAAACAAACATGTCATCTGGCAGTACATGGTGGGGAAATGATAGAAGTCCTCAAAGGACAATAAGAAGCACGCTGGAAGCAAAGAGAAACCCGGTTTCCAGGCTATCCTGTCCCCAAGTGGAACAAGAAGAATTAAAAATAAATCTGGTTACACATAGGAGGAAATTTTTCAAGCGGAGGTGTCCATCACCTAAGGACACTAGCAAAACTTTTTAGCCTCACAGAGTGGGCACTGGTATGTGGGGACACCAAGGAGTGGACCCAGCAAAGCCTTTGCCCAGTGTACAATCATCTGAAGGTAGCGACATATAACCCATGGTCCACAAATCAATTCCTGTGTCCTGTACTGTAGGATAAAGATAGTAGCCTGAGAAAACAAAATCAGTACAACTCTGCAATACATGCACATTTATCCATGTTCTGTCTCTGTTGGTCTACAGGGCACCGTTCCCTTAAGTTATAGAGATGGAGAGAGTAAGCTGCTCTGGAGTCAAGCAGAGGAGAGCTCATGACACTGCAGCAACGGCTTGGATGTCACCCATTTTTTTAACTGCTATTGGTGTCCCTGTTGGGTGACCAATGACAGGAAGTGATAGGATATCTCTCTGATAGGGATAGAGACAGGAATAGAAGCATGTTTATTTAGTAGAGTGGAAAGGGGATGAAGCATCTGCTAGGAATGTATTATACGCTGTATTCCTACCTCAATGACATCCGCATCTATTACTTTTTTATAAGATACTAATATACAAACACATACACACAATGTTTTTCAATCCCTCACAAACACCACAATTCCTTTTTACAGGATTCTAGAGCTTTTATTACATCCGGTTTTTTTTGTATGTTACAGCATTCACATTCATGATGTCTTTCTAGATTTTTTCTTGTTTTTGTTAAAAAAAGAGAAGTTTGGAAGCAGCATATGGGCCGTTGTCGCAATCCTGAGCAAGTGGAAAATAAATAAATACTACACCATCTTCTGAAAACTGCTCAGAGCTTCCTCCACCTTCTGGTCCTCTGTCTCCAACTGTTTCATCTAGGCAGAAGATAGGGGGTGAAAGAGTAAAGACAGCTTTCATGAATATATACAGTAAAGCTAATTTTTGACTTTTTTTTTTTTTTAATAACCAAAACACATTTTCCACAGCAAACATTCTCACATTGTTACTTTTAAAACGTTTCACCAATATCAAATGTCTTTACTGAAACAGGTACCATCCAGATGGAACAGCGAGCTTGTAAAGACTAAAGTGAACCTGTCATGACAGATATATGCAGCCTACCATTCCTGTACAGTTTCCGATTGCCTGGCTGTTAGACTGATTCTGTGGCTGCAATATTTACTGAGTTACTGATCTACAACAAGTAGATCAAGAAAATTAGGTAAATGTCATAAGTCCTGATCAGTATAGGTAGTAGCAAAGTGTTGGCAGTCACCATGATAGTGGGGCAACCAACACCTTCAGAACAATATGTCAGAGCAAAAAAAAAAAAAAAAAAAAAAAAAGGAGAGGATGCAGGACTAGGAAAAAGAGGAAAGGACAGGAGGCAAAAGAGGAGTGAGATAGAGAAAGGAGAGAGGTGGAGGGTGAGGGAGATGAAAGGAGAGAGGTGGAGGGTGAATGAAGAGGGATGGAGTGAGAGGACGGAGATGGAGAGAGAGAAGAAGAGGTGAGAAGAATAGGAAAGTGAAATTGGTGAAGAGGGAGGGAAGAGGAAGAGGAAGAAAGACAAAAATGTATGAGTGAAAATAAAAGAAAGACATGGAGGGAGAGTGAGAAGAGGTGAGGAGGCGGAGGGAGATAAGAAGAGGTGAGGGAGAGCAGAGGGAGCATAAGAAGAGGAGAGGAAAAGCAGAAAGAAGAGTGATGAGGAGAGGGAAGAGGGAGAGAGGAAGAGGAGAGGGATGAAGAGCAAAGGAAGTAAGGGGGGAAGGGGAATACAGGAGTGTGGAGGCACGAGGAAGAGAAGGAGAAAGTAATTAGAGGCTACATTATTGGTGGAAGGCTGACAGAGGCCCAGCAGCTTAACAAATGGAAACCAACTCTTACCATCCACAGTATCAAGCATCTCTTTCTTCTAACAGACCTTACTACGAGCTGTAACTCACCTTGTCAGCATCTTGTTGCTGTACTACAGTGGGAACTTTGTTGCGGTAATCTGCTCCAGACACGCGCTCATGCAGTTTCTCAAGCTGTCGGTTCAGCTCACTCTTCCTCAGCTGCAGCTTACCAAGTTCTTTCTCCACATCAATAAGACCCTGCCAGGAGACACAGGAATTCATATCACTTTCTGCACCCGAGTGCTGCATCACTGTGCTATGCAGTTGCAGCCATTACGTCATGTCACTATACTGTCACTATACAGTCCTGTCAGGCTCACCTTGAGAATAAGGTAGACGGTGGCTTTATCAGATGCGGTGTTCACAGCACTGCCATCTGGAGCATTGTCTGCAGGCTGCATAATCATCAGAGATTGAGAAGAGGAGAGGACGGTGATGTACGAGGTATAAGCAGCAACCACAGCCCTGGTATCATCATCTGCACACTTAACGTAACCTATGAGGACAAGGGGAGACTGAGAGTTCCTGGTCTTTGGCAATACCAAACTGGTACCAGTAAGAAAACTACTTTGCAGCTATAGTGGCTCACTGGAATTTGTGCTCAGATTAACATGTATTTTCTTGTAACTGCAGCATTTTTTAAGAGAAAAAACAGGTGAATGTGAATGTCTTCAGAGGTGTACTGAATATGTTTTTCTTTATTTTGTCCAGATATACACTTTACGGCCAAGCTATAATGGTTTACATCTCAAGATACTCCATGGCCAAAATGTGGCCACTGAAACCTTGCCAGACAGTAGAATATTACTAGTGGCTTTCTCAGCTTATTACAAGATACAACAAAGACAACACTAGTTTTGTAGCACTGGGGTCCTAGCTTAAATGTCCACAGGAGCTACTGTCTGCACACAATTTTTTTTCACAAGTTTGTGTCACATTTTCTTTTGGAGCCCCAAAAATATAATGATCGGTTAAACTAGACTTACTGCTTGCCAGGGACTTTGGTAGGGACATTAAATTGTTACTAAACCCAGGAACCTCCATCCACTATATCTGATCTCCCACAGTACACAGAACATGGAAATTCAATTATTTTAGTAAATATAAACGGCTAAATACATTTTCTCATCAGAAGTTAGAGCAGTCTTGTGACTTTTATCAGTGTCCAGCACAGCACTAGCTAAAGCTTGTACAAGGAGTTTTCTTTTTACTCTAGGAGGATCCAAAACCCCTGACCTCTGTCTGACCAGTTCTGATTTGCCCTGTGCTGATCACATGCACTCTCCCAAAGGGGAAAAAAAAACCCTTTCTAGCAACACACCAAACTGAGCATGTGCAAATGCCTACGGTTCAGTCTGTCTTATCAGGAGATAAGAGGTGGACGTTTGAAAAAGGGAAGGAACAGAGAAGAAAGGATAAAACATCCTTTTTACACAATGCAGAGGATTAACCCTTTAGGTTCCACAGTGAGTATAACAAGCATGCTTTACTGCATATACAGACTGATATTACTGTTGTGGGTTTAGTAACACTTTAAAACACAACCTTCTCTCAGTCAGGAACTAACAGGAATTAGTCTACGCACTCTGAATAGCAATACTGTTAAACACAATCAATAAAAGACCAGTTCATTTCAGGATAACTAAAATAACAGCACCTGATGATACATGATTATCCTTGAATATTTTTGCTCATGTTTAAATACAATTGCAGTGCCAATAACTATTGTACAAATACATTCAGTCCAAAGTCTGAGTATCATAAAAGCTGCCTTGGCCAATAAACAGAAATAGAGTCCTATACAGAGAAACATGGAACAATCATGTTCAAAGTCCTATGAAAAAGAGGAAGGAGAGACCCAATAATGCAATAAACATTTTAAACAAATAAATGTGCTCCAAAAGTCAAGCAGCAGTAACTTGTCATGCTATTGTTCAGATAGGGAGATTACTGGCATGCAAGATACAAGAGAGTCATCAATTACAATTTTAAGCTAGTCAGCAAAAAAAATAAAATAAAAAAACACAGTATTTTACTTTTCCTAGAGTTAAAGAGATACCTATTTTTAACCCACTGATGATAGCTCTGTATTTATGTCTTCAAACCCTCTCTAGCAATTGCAAGGAATTTTATTGTACATTATGGAAAATGAAACAGAATGCCTGGGAATACTTAAGGCGGGGACTTTCTAAATTCTGAGTAGGAAAGGAACACAATAAGAAACTTTGGTCATGGAGAACTCAACACAGGAACCCCCGAGACACGCAAAAAGCATGCAGGAGACTCCGCCCACAACGGTCCACCTTTAATATCTTAGATATTACTTTTGATAAGAATGACTGTTTAAAGCTGAACTCCAGGCAGATATACCACTAAATAGAGCTCTGCAATCCCTAATAAATCATTACATTTATTTCTGTTAATGCAACTGAAATCCCCACTGTATGGGCAGACAGCGTGGGAAGACAAGACTGAAAGCCAATAAGGTGTGCTGCATACAAATATGCTGACAATGAACATGCTAATAGGAGCAAAGACTGAGCATGCCTTATTGGTCCCTCACAGCTTTTTTTCTGTTCAATTAACAGGCTGGGGGTAGAGAGTGGGCACAACTGTATCTTTCTACAACCTATAAAGGCTGGTTCATGCCAGCTCCCTGCATTTCTAATGCATCCCAATACAATCCTGTATAACAACAATAACAATAATAATATGAATGATTGTTGTGGGGAACCTGATCACCAATTGTTTTTATAGTGTCCTTGTGTTAAACCTGCTTTAACAAATGCAGATCAATACAGCTCAATGTACCTAGTGTGAATGAACCCTTAAAAGAAGAAAAAAAAAAAAGGTAGCATTGCAATGCTTTGCTGAGCAGGTCCACAATGGGTGGCAGCACGTGTTATATGCTATGCTTTGCTGTGCAAGATGGTGTGAACCAGCTTTCACTGTAACAGAGTAAAGTGAAGTCATCGAGTTGTGTAGCTGTTTGCCTGGAGTTCTGCTTTCATTTTTTTTTCTACCAGGCAATGATAACATCAATAATCACACCATCTAGATGTCAACTCCTCAAAGAATGCAGCTTCTGGACCCAAAATCTATTCCAGGTGACATTTTCTGCATTACATTACCTTGTGTAGTTACCTTCATTGTTTCACTGAGTACTTACAGTCTGCTTTTGTCTTTGTGAGATTATAATCAGCCCGCAGAGACCGAATGGATTTCACTATAAGCAATGCAAGATCCATATTCTTCTCAGTCCCTTCATGTCGCCAACGGAACTACAGGCAACAAATACACAAAACAGAGGAATGGTTAGTGTTAAAGGTGATTCCTGAGATCATGTGTTGCTGTATTATAGGTCTTTGTGGTACCTGAAACAACCAAACATTTGGGGGTTTTTTTTTCCTGACCTGCTCCAAATAAATCACAGCTGGATTATGTTAGCCAAGGGTAACAGCTACATGTCTGTCACACAAACCTCATTCTTCACCCTGATATTTTAGACATCATCTATTATATATGTGTTCTCAGGGGTGTGGAAATTTTATCAAAAACTACTTGTCCAAGGGACTAAATCGGGGTCCCAATCTCCTTGTCCTCTCGACAATCTACATGTCCTGATTTTTAACCAAAACCATATTTAATTAAGGATGATCATCCCTTCACTCAGCAATCACACCTCAACAAGTGTGGGGATGGTCAAAGGCGGCATGCTGAGCATGGGGATGAACAGAGGCAGCATACCGAGCGTGGGGATGGTCCAAGGAGGCATGCCGAACGTGGGGATGGTCGGAGGTGGCATGCCGAGCATGGGCATGGTCAGAGGCAGCATACCGAATGTGTGAATGGTCAGAGGTGGCATACCGAGCGTGGTGATGGTCAGAGGTGGCATGCCACCTCTGATTATCCCTACATTCAGTAATCACAAAGTACAATGCTGTATGTGGATATGGCAGGTGGAGTAGATAAGTAGTAATAGGACAGAGTTTGATGTGTGTTGACATTGACATGTCCTGTATGGTGGTCCGGGTCCTGAGGCCACCCGCTGTGTGTGTGTGTTCTGCAGCAGAGTGTATGCAGACGGAGGGATACAAATGGAGAAAAGGAAGTCAGCGTGTCCAAGAAGGAGAAGAAGAGTAAGAGAAGTGTGGGAGTGGCCAAGACTAAATGGGGGCCGCCAAGTGGAGTGGTTGGGCTGAGGGAGCTGCTGAGCTAGTGAGAGGCCGGCGGAGAGGGGACAGCAGCATGGATGAGTGGAGAGCCTGCTAACTCTGGTGTAGCATGAAGATTTGTTCATGCTGCACTGGTATCTGCTCTGCAAAAAAAGAAATGTAAACCCTGCTGCTTTCCTGGGCTAAATGTAAATAAAAACCACCTGCCTGCGTTGGACGATATGAATTGCACATCCCTGGTTCCTATAATGGTTCCTCACTCAATAGGCCTTGTTAAAGCAGAATTGGACTGTATCTGAGCACCACAAACCGAGATCAAAAGTTAATTTGTAACATTCAAAGCAAACTCGCCCATCTATCCATGTCTCTATGCTTTATTATGTTGAGAACCCCCCCAGCAGATTTAGCCACAGCAATCATGAGCAAGGGCAGATGATACATGTAGCATTTACTTGTAACCATCTGCCCTTAGCTCAGGCATGCAGGCAGAGAAGCGTGTGCTTCGCTAGGAATTCCCCTCCTCCAAATGCAAGTAAAAGGAAATCACCATGAAAACTCCTGGGATGTATGAGATATATATATATATATATATATATATACACACACACACACACATACATATACACACACACACACACAGTATCTCACAGAAGTGAATACATCCCTCACATTTTTGTAAATATTTTATTCTCTCCTTTCATGTGACAACACTGAAGAAATGACACTTTGCTACAATGTAGAGTAGTGAGTGTACAGCTATTAATGTCTAAACCGCTGGCAACAACAGTGAGTACACCGCTAAGTGAAAATGTCCAAATTGCAATTAAACATTCCCGATGTCATGTTACTTGTTAGTGTTTCAAGGTCTCAGGTGTGAATGGGGAGCAGGTGTGTTAAATTTGGTGTTATCGCTCTCACTCTCATACTGGTCACTGGAAGTTCAACATGGCACCTCATGGCAGGGAACTCTGAGGAAAGAATTGTTGCTCTACATAAAGATGGCCTAGGCTATAAGAAGATTGCCAAGACCCTGAAACTGAGCTGCAGCACGGTGGCCAAGGCGATACAGCGGTTTAACAGGACAGGTTCCACTCAGAACAGGCCTCACCATGGTCGACCAAAGAAGTTAAGTGAACAGTGTCATATACTGAGATTGTCTTTGGGAAATAGACGTATGAGTGCTGCCAGCATTGCTGCAGAGGTTGAAGGGGTGGGGGGTCAGCCTGTCAGTGCTCAGACCATACATGGCACACTACATCAAATTGGTCTGCATGGCTGTTGTGACAGAAGGAAGCCTCTTCTAAAGATGAAGAGAACCTGCAAACAGTTGGCTGAAGACAAGCAGACTAAGGACATGGATTACTGGAACCATGTCCTGTGGTTTGATGAGACCAAGATAAACTTATTTTATGTCAATCACAGCCAGTGAGAAGAGAGAGTGGCGGGACCAAGCATCAGCTCCGTGTGTGAATGGACACACGGAGCAGCTGGTGCCCCATACAAGCTGCTTGCTGAGCGGGCACCCGACAGGAGTGAGGGGCCAGGAGAGCCTGCAGGGAACCCGGGAATAGGAGGATCCAGGCTCTCTGTGCAAAACCACTGCACACATCAGGTAAGTATAAACATGTTTGTTATTTTTTCTTAAAAAAACAAGAAAAAAACAAGCCTTTGGAATCACTTTAACTCTTCTTGGCTGCAACAGTTTTTCCCTGGAACAGACAAATGCACAAAGAATACAGATGATGATTCTTCGAGGTGCTTACCTCACTATTTTCAGGATAAGGAGCTACAGAGATGCTTGGAAACTGTTCAGAGGATCTTCGGGGGAGGCGCTGATAAAGCTCTTCTGTAAGGAAAGGCATGAAGGGGGAAAGGAGACGGAGACCAGCATCCAGACAAGTGTACAGGGTATTCTGTGATACAGCGATGGCGATTTCATCTGTGCCAGCAAACACAGGCTTCAAACACTCCTGAATAAAAAAAAGTGAAGGTGGAAGATGAAGTGAAATAAAAACAATAAATTAGTTGAAGGATGAAAGTCACAAAACACGGTACTAAACCAAACACCCATATATAATTATTTATTTAAACCACTAGGAATCAGTAGGAGTCTCACTGCCTTTGAGCCAACACCAAACATTAACAGCTTTGCCATGTCATAGCAGGAGGTGCATCCCTATTTGTTCAGTACATACTCTTCTTCCTGATTTGCAGTGCCAACAATGACTGTTTTACTGCTCCTTCTCACAACCCAAGTTCATAGCTGGCCTAAGATGGATGTAAATTCAACCGCTTCAGCAGGGACCAAATGAATTTCGATTCATGTATGGGCACTGTGGTTAAACAGAAGTCAATCTACCAATTGACTTCTGGCCAACGACACTGCTGTAAAAAATCCATACTCGATCAGCACTGCAGGCTGTAGACTGCAGTGCTGATCAGTGTATTCTGAAGGCAGGGAAGTCTGCCCGCTGTCAGAACACAAAGGAAGGATACCCCCATCCACCTCGAATGTGTGGATGGGACAATCAGGTTAGTTATTTTCATTCAACCTACTGGTTGAACGAACGACTCACCTATGCCCAGCTTTGGTCGGCTGCCACATTAAAAACAATACATTTCGCCCCTCTGTAACAGGCAGGGAAGAGCCCAGTGTCCTATCCCACCAGACAGATGTCAAAACAAACAGCCAGTCATATGAGCAGCTGCAGAGCAGAGAATGCCTCCACTGCCTATGATTAACTGTCGGCTTTGACAGCTTCTTGGTGGAACAGCTCAGGCAAGTATGAACTGGTGTTCAAACAAGCCTGAGCTCATCCCTATTCAGCTGTCCAGCACAGAGTTTGAATGAGGCCGAGTCAAAAGGTATCCCTCTAGTGACTAAACTGCAAATCTCTAGATTTAACAAAATAACAAAAACATGCAATAGTAATAGTACTTTAAGGAAAGTACAACTTAAATGTGCTATACTTTCCCTTTAAACCATTGTACATTTTCCAATGTATTTGATGTTTTAACAAGGAATTAGTCTAGGTATATTCCCTGTATCGTTTGTTTGCCTTACTTTGTAATGATGGGCTCACATGTTGTGGCTGCAGTTTGTAGTGTCATAGCCAATCAACTCCCCTATGTCCATGCATTAAAGGATAAGTTCAGCTTAACAATAAAAAATAATAAATGTACCCTTTTGAAGAAAAAATGTGCATTTATTATTTTTATTCACAGGAGCCTGCAGACCAATACACACATAATCAGTGGATCACAGGTGTGACGTCAGGCTCTTGCACACGCTACTGGACAGCTCTCTGCCTGTACTTCTGTATGGGCAGACAGTTACTGAGCTGTAGGCAGTGTGCATTACCTAGGAGCATGCTGATCAGTGCACTCGCAGTTCATTGAAATTATAAGTCAGTAGGACTTGTGGTCTACTCATTCACAGATCTCAGAATAAATGACGCAGTTGTGTGTGTGTGGGGGGGGGCGGAGCCTTGCACAGGAAAGCCGGATTTAAAATGTGATGGCAGGTGCAGCCATTGTCATATTTGGGGTAGGGGTTGGGGTTGCTATATAGTAACATGTTACACCCTAAATACGAGTGTAACATGTCACTAAGGGTAAACCTATCCTTTTTTTAATCTAGCTTGTCTCTATTTGCTATAAGGACAAGCAATGTTTTGTCCAGGCCACAATCCACGCCTCACCATCACAAATGAGGGAGTGCTAATGTGATGAAACTGCATGGTGAGCTCTGGTAATTGCTCTGCCTGCTTGCGTCTGATCTAATAACTTGGCTCTCACCTGAAAAGCACTAACCGCAAGGATCCAGGGATTGTGGGATATGTAATTTCTTCACATGAAGTGCCAGTTCTTAAAAGGATAAGTTCAACTTTTGATCAAAAATAATAAATGCACAAAAGGTAAAAAAAATGTGCATTTATTATTTTTGGTTGCAGGAGCCTGTAAAGCATTACACCAGTGATCAGCAGTTCCCAGGTGCCATGCAAGTGCGAGCAAGCAGATATATACGGACAGGAAGATTCAATGAATTTCTGAATGGTAGTTCATTGAGAACTACAAGCCGACAGCTGCCAAGGCTGTTGGGACTTGTAGTTCATTAATTCACAGAAGACTGTGAATGATGTGGCTGTGTGGGCGGAGCCCTGCACAGCAGGGTTGTTTTAGAAAAGTGACAGCTTGTATGGAGAACTTCTCACTTCTGTCACAAGGAGGAGGGGCAGCAGCTGTAGCAATGGGAAAATGTTACATGTTCCACCCAAAAAACAGGTGGGACATGTAACATGTTACCAAAGGTGAACTTATCCCGCAAACTACAGACCGAGATCATGCATTAATCTGTGCAGTCATGCAGCATGCCTCAGATTTGGACACAAACAAATTTCGGACGCCAGAATGTTAAGATTTACACTACTATGGGATGTGCATACAGGATAACAAATTACACCATGAAACTACATGTTCAGTGAGCATCTTATGCAAGTGAATAACACAGTGCAGGTCAGTTGGTTTATAATGCCTTTAACAACTTAAGCCCTGGAAGATTTTACCTTCTTCATGACCAGGCCATTTTTTTTGCTTTTCGGCACTGCGCTACTTTAAAGCAGTAATAAAATCTACTCCTACGTTCCATATTTTAAATAAGCCACTATATAAATGTATTCTTACATGCAGTATTAAAATTAACCCCCATTCTTATGTTTCTTAAATGTTTCCTGCTCTTTTAAAAATCTTCCTTCCTGGGGCAAGCCAAAAATTTTGAAGAAAAAAAACAAAAAAAAAACATATTTTTTACTTTCTGCTATAAAAGATATCCAATTAAAAAAAACATTCTTCATAAATTTAGGCCAAAATGTATTCTGTTACATGTCTATGGTAAAAAAAATCCCAATAAGTAGATATTAATTGGTTTGCATGAAAGTTATAGTGTCTACAAACTATGGGATTTATACTGGAATTTTTTTAAATACTAGTGATGGCAGTGATCAGTGGCTTATACTGGGACTGTGATAGTGCGCTGGGCGATCTGACAATAACTGACACTTTGTGGGAACTAACAAACTGCCACTGACATCTCCAGTGACACTAATACAGTGATAATATCATACACGGACACTGTACTAATGACACTAGCTGGGTTCAGGGGGCAATCAAAGGGTTAACTGTGTGCCTAAAAATGTCTACTCTATGTATGTGCTTTTACTAAGCGATGTGCCTGTTTTTACTCCCTGCTTAGCAGGGAGAAAAAAAAAAGGCACATTACTGCTGTCTGTACAGAGCTCTGTGTTGTTTGTCAAAACAGAGCTCTGTTCTGTCATTCGCTCAGCCGATCAGCAGGTCCCAACCATAAACTGGGACCAGCTGATCGGCTTGTGCTGTAGCAATAGACAGCACAGTCAGGACAGCAGGCGCAATCCCTACCCAGAAATGCTGGATCACGTATATATATATATATATATATATATATATATATATATATATATATATATGTGTGTGTGATTCAGCACACAGCGGCCGCCTAGTGATAAAGAAAATACTGCTACAAAGAAAACCACAAATGCTCTCAGAAGTAGGAAAAAAAGAAGAGATAACATTTCTTACCAGATACACATCACAGAGATCATATAGCCAGAAGTTATATACTGCTGTAGTAGTTCCTGGGAAGTCGTAATTTTGGAAACCAGTGTTACACAGATCAATCGCAAGACTAAGACGACTTAGGATCCAGAGATCAGCCAAACTTTCCTGTCCAGTGGGCTAAAAAACATAAATTAAATATGATACCCTATATGCAAAACACAAGGACACCCAAAGAATATGTAAACCCAACATTTCATATTCCTAATATGTGCCTGCTGTACCATGTTCTTGTATGAAAAAGTATCCTGTTCTCAGAATTGCTTCCTTTTGTGTGAAATCCCTGCTGTTCCTGCCAGTCCCTCTGCTTTCCTATTAAGAGCGGACCACACTAAGCAGAAGAAGACAGAGTGGTCAGCTCTCTGTGCTGGGAAATCAGCCTGCTCTCCTCCAGATCAGACTTGTCCTGACACGCCCCCTCTGCACAACCTTTCACAAGGAAGATCAGTATGCTGCTGTTTCTCCTCCCCCAGCTCATATGTAGTTGAGAACAGAGATAATGTGGTCACTTAAAAAAAAAGGGAAAAAATTGTATTTATATATTTTTTTTATATCTATACACAAATGTTTTGTCTTTCGTTTTAAACTGAATGAGTTGTTTTTATAAGGTGGGGGTTTACAGTCACTTTAATTTAAAAGAGAACAGTCTAAAGATGCATTATCTCAGGGTTTATAATGTTCAGTCGCACATTACCATCAAAACTTGTCCACCAATACATTCCTAACATTGCCTTCAATACCAGGAGCAGAAGCTTCATAGTTTACACTGTGACAGCTGTAGGTGTGCCACAGGAATCTACGTAAAGTATCTCCTTCCTTTCTCTGAGACTTCTAGGTATATTGGCTTCTTAAGCCATTCACATCCCACTCTCCAAGAGTGTCACTATTAATTCTAATCACTGGGATTATAAAATAAAAATAAAATAGAAGCACACTCTAGGGATTGTGGACAATGTCTGCGTATAATCTGCCACTTAGAATATGTTCATTTTAGTGGCAAAAACATCTCTCTATAGGAAGCAGTGATTTAAACTGCAGCACAGAAGTGTTTTCTTGTAGCAGCTACAGCTGGTTTTCCTTTAGATATGAACCACCATTCCTCACTTTGGGGCACTTGAGCTTTGTCAGATATTTCTACAGAGGAATTGGCAGCACCCTTTTCTCAGCTACCAGTGACAGGCTGCCTGCCACTTAAGAGATCCATCTTCCAAACACTAAGAGTGCTGTCATCTGCACACAGTGACACAACTAAGAGTCATGCAACAATCTCAAGAAACAGTCAAACTAGAAGTAAAGGAGAATCCTAAAACGGAATTAACTAAAGCGTGGCACGGCAGTGCCCAGTCAGCTGATCGCAGGTAATATCCTGCTATCAGCTAACGCTGGGTCACATCAGTACGATAGTAAATGTAAAAAGGTTTAGCCATACTTTAATCATTTTAAATGCTGTCAGTATAATTACTTGAAATATACACTCACTGGCCACTTTATTAGGTACACCTGTTCACGTGCTTGGTAACACAAATTGCTAATCAGCCAATCACATGGCCGCAACTCAATGCATTTAGGCATGTAGACGTGGTGAAGACGACTTGCTGAAGTTCAAACCGAACATCAGAATGGGGATTTAAGTGACCATGCAAGGTTGTTGGTGCCAGATGGGCACAACCATCTCTAGGGTTTACAGAGGAAAAAAAAAATCCAGTGAGTGGCAGTTGTGTGGATAAAAATGCCTTGTTGATGTCAGAGAATGGGCAGACTGGTTGCTGCGACATTCAGATGGTAGGGTCAGAATTTGGGGTAAATAACATGAAAGCATGGATCCATCCTACCTTGTATCAATAGTTTCGGCTGGTGGTGTAATGGTGTGGAGGATATTTTCTTGGCACTAGCAAGGTGTACCTAATAAAGTGGCCGGTGAGTGTATATATGTAATAACTATACTGGCCTAAATAACCTCTTATAAACATGCTTGTTCCAGGGCAGTAAGTAAATACGAGAATGACATAATGAAACTTGTATGTTCAAAAGCAAATCATAGATGGTAATTCTCATACCCTGTGTTTCCCCAAAAATAAGACACTGTCTTATATTTTTTTTGGCTCCAAAAAAACACACTAGGTCTTATTTTCGGGGTAGGTCTTATTTTTTAAATGTCCAGGTGTGGACAGGGGGTGCAGAGGTGAGCTGCAGGCAGTTGTGGATGAGGATTACTATGGAGAGGGCCAGCTGATGACAGTTGTGAGCTGAAGTAAGGTGTTGCAGGGGTGACTTGACAGGTGTTTCAGACAGGGTGCAGATATGAGCCACAGACAGAGTGCAGGGGTGAGTTGCAGACGGGGAATGCAGGGGTGAGCTGTGGCCATGGAGTGCAGAGTTGAGCTGTGGCCAGGGGGTACAGATCTGAGCTGTGGCTGGGGGGTGCAAATGTGGGTTGCAACTCAGCTCACCTCTGCACCCCCCCAGCCACAGCTCACCTATGCACAGTCTGCAACTCACCTGACTCAATTTACCTCTGCAACACCTGACGGCAGCTCACCTTTGCACATCCCCCCTCCCCCTCCACTGCCCTCATATGTTTAGCTAGCTTTGCAAAACACAGCTGTCAGCAGCCGGCTCCTCTCTATAGTAACTCCCGTTTTGGGTCCTATCTTCCCACACAGTGCACTAAGCGCGCTTACTCACCGCTCTGCCTCTTCCCCACTGCCCGGTGATCACCCCTGGGGCATCGGCTTCCATGCATTAGGCTGCCGGAGTAGATGCCCCGTCCCTAAACACACTGCACCTCTCAGATATCTGTTCCTTCCCTGTCCCACAGTGAGTACAGAGGTAGGGAGGTTCTGTGGGAGTGGATGGTGCTGTCACTTCAGCCGTGCTTCTGTGTTTATAAAGACAGTAGATATGGGTGTGCGCAGGGCCAGTGCCGGAGGTGATGGAATGGCATTCTGCCATGTTCCAGCTGAAAAAAAGCCCTAATCACAACTAGGTCTTATTTTCGGGGTAGGTCTTATACTTTAGCAATTCCCAAAAATAGCACTAGGTCTTATTTACGAGGTAGGTCTTATTTTAGGGGAAACAGGGTATTTCCTTCTGGACAGCTTTCTTGCAAGGAGTGGAGAGCAGAGGAAGCACCTCCATTCTATGTTCACTTATAATTGTACTTGTGCATAATCTAACAAATAGGCTAAAAGCAGAAAAAGAGTGGTGACTCAGGAATCTGAAATCTGAATGCTCTGACTATATAATGCGTTGGTAGTATTGATGCTATTGAACACAATTACAAATACATTAGCAGATAGAAGAGCTCACATGCATACATTTTAAAAGTTTAAGTAGCTGTTGGCTGGCATTGTGAGAACAATGGTAAAAACTCAACAAAGAAACTCTCTCTCACCAGTGAGGAGTCCGGAGGTGTGAATTTATCTCCCAGGCCTCTCATGGCAAACTTTGTTGCATTCCAGAGTTTGTTGCAGAAATGGCGGTAACCCAAGATCCTGTTCACATCCAGGTTAATGTCACGTCCTGGCGTAGAAAGATTTGTCAGAGTTGTTTCATATTGCATTTAGTCCTTACAATGTGGAGGCAGCACCACTACTAGGTAATTTTTTTTAATTTTCCCAGAAGTTTGGCTTTACCACTTTAGGACCACCGGCCTGCACTGTACTGCGGACAGATGGCTCCTACAGGCACAGTGACGTGCGCCCCCCCCGCACAGCAGGGAGATGGAACAAATAGATTTTTAGTAAAAAGCAGCACATATTACACACATTAACTTGTTAGGCACACACTCAAACCTTTGATTACCCTGAGATGTTAACCCCTTCCCAGCCAGTGTCATCAGTACAGTGACAGTATACAGTATTATCACGGAACACTGAATTAGTGTCACTGGTGATGTCGGTGTCATTTCCCACTCAGTGTCAGATTGCCCGCCACACTATCACAGTCCCATTATAAGTCGCTGATCACTGCTAGTAAAAAATAAATAAATAACATTTCCAATATATATATACCATAGTTTGTAGATGCTGTAACTTTCACACAGACCAATCAATATACACTTATTGGGATTGTTTTTTACCAAAGACATGTAGCAGAATACATTTTGGTCTAAATTTATGAACAAATTATATTTTTTTTATTGGATACTGTATGTGATAGCAGAAAGTAAAAAAATACTGTTTTTTTCAAAGTTCGCAGTTTTTTTTTTTTCAATTACATGGTAAAAACTAAAAACTGGGTGGTAATCAGATACCACCAAAACAATGCTCTACTTGTGTGAAGAAAAGTGATATAAATGTCATATGGGTACAGCGTTGCATGACCTCACAATTTCTAAAAACAGTGCTAAATAGTAAAAATGTCCTGGCCATGAAGGGGGTAAAACCTTCCAGAGCTCAAGGAACACACAACAGAGCGATGCACAGGAGACTACATACCTTGACTAGTGTAGGCACACAAGGCAAATCTCAGGGCATCAGTCCCACATTCAGGGATCCCACTGGGGTAGTCAAATTTCTGAGGAGTAAGGAAAAGCATAGTGTAAAATGAAAACTTGACATCTCATGTAATTAAAGTACAGATGTACTTTTGTTTGAAATTTCATTAAACTCCACCCCAAAACTAAACTGCAGTAACCTTTTCACCACCATCCCAGCTGCTTACTCAGGTCCTTGGCATTGTTGCTGCCTTCCCTCTAGTTTACAGCCAGTCTGACAAAATTCCCATTTCCTTACAAGGAGCTATATACAAAGACTGAAGATTTTTGGTGTACGGCTCCTCAAAAGTCAGACGCGGGGCAGATATCTCTGAAGAGAATTTCAGCATCATTATAAAGCAGCAGTTGGGATGATGGGGGGGGGGGGGGTTCAGGGGTTTGACTAAGTTCAGTTACTAGTAACATTTTTCAGTCTTGTGAGAAGCACCCACCTGTCCTTCCTTGGCTCTCTCCAGCTCAGCAGGATCCAAGTTACTGTCCAGCAGCTGAGCATGCAGGCCCTGTTGGGAAGATAATAAAAGGATTCTGAAGAGTAGCAAAATGAACATCATTTTTGTCTCTTTACCTTTCCCCATGTTCATCCTTTACCTCCAGGCTTATCCCATTGATCACATCCAGGGGATCAATTACATTTCCAAGGGACTTGCTCATTTTACGCCCATGAGCATCACGTACTATAGCATGTAGGTACACCTGAAAGATAATAGTAAGATAATAGTGACACAAAAGACTGCTAGCTGTCTAAAGGATAACATATATCTAAACCCAATTTCCAGGCTCACCCACTAGTCGGCCCCCTCATCCCATGAAGGAACCCCTGATCATACTTTTTTGCTTTTCATTATTTAAGAATGATCTTTTCAGAGGTCTTTAGGCTGGTCATGTAATGTGCAAGTTCCTCTTTGGATCTTCTCTAGCCTTGGACAGGACTCATTGGTGAAGAGCGCAGCTCTGATGTAATTTTTGCAATACTGTATGCAAGTACAGGGCACCATAGAGAAGCCCTAAACGAAAGGATTTCCATGTTATTGCTTTTCCCTAGTGTTCTTGCCAGTCAATGCAGGCAAGGAAGGGCATCTAGGGGTAGAAGGATTACTCCCGAGGACAGCTCCAGAGAGGAAGTTCGTATTGTAGCCAGGGCTACTTTGTTTTAAACCCTTGCTGGGTGTTTATTTTTTTTATTTTGCCTGATGTTACGGTTCAATATATACTCAGCATGCAGCATTGTGCATGGAAACTATAATAAAGATTGTGATTGGGAAGGGGTTGATGCGTCCATGCTATGGGGAATCTATGCATTTGTTGGAGACCCTAAGATGACAGTCACCCATACACATCCAAATTCGGTATATGTACTATGATAACCCCTTGTAGCCTATGAAGCTGTAATAGATATATATTGTATATTTAATGTCTACTTGATCAACAGATGTGGAGAAAAGGTTTTAATCCACCCAATGGCTAGTGACGTCAATCGCCATATATGTAGATATTTTCATGTGATACCACTAAAATTGCCTAATACTCACCTGTACATGCAACAATTCAAATAATTAGGAGCCTCTCCTCATTAGGAAACATTTGCTAAGCTAATGTGCATATCAGCCGCCTTTCTGGGTTTAGAAAATGAAGAAAATGATAAACAGGTTAGGTACTACGTGTACTGTGTGTTTGGAATTCCTGGAGTATGCAGAGAAATAATAATAAGACCAGGTTATGCCCCAATACCTGGTAATGCTCTTCACCCCCCTCTCACACCAGTTTGTACTGACTGTTTCTACAATGCTGTTTGAACTACGGCAAGTCAATAATAGGACAAGTCTCGTGAATGTAGTAAAATGTTAGGGTTTTTTTGTATGTTGTTCCTGTTCTACTTACAGGTTCACATAAAAATTATGAGTAATTAAAAGTATGAGACTTAGAGCTGTCAGTAACAGCTCGACTCTAAACCTAACCCTGAGAATGACCTAGGTCAAACCTGATCTAGATATTTTAATGTATTATTTTTATATTTTTACTGTTTACAATTTTCCACTGCAGCAAGGAGAAAAAGATACATTGTACCTTGCATTTCCTTTCAAGGGGAGAAAGATCACAGGGTGGGCTATATATAATGAGTGATCGTTGTGATTGCCAATTGCAGGCTATCATAGCAATCCCGTGATCGAGAGCTGGTCCTCCCGTCTCAAAGTTGTTAGTATGAGACTCTCAGTAACAGCTCAGTCTCTGCTGTGCAGTGCACTCTCAGCACGAACACCTGCATGTACATACGAGGCCCCACAGCAGAAGACTCACTTCCGTGAGGCCGCATATATGCCTGTGCTCAGTGAGAATGGGTTAAATAGCATAGGGTGCTATACACTGCAATAGAACACCATTATATAAATTTTTACCAAAATAGTGCAATAAGAAATGGTGAACAACAGCAACCAATGACATTTCAATCTAAGATCATATCCGACTGGCTTTTAAGAGAGGAAATTCATGTCATATGAACAACTTTATAAAAATTATAACTGTATTAGCAGAGAGACTGGGAACCCATTTTTCTGAACACACAATAGCATACATTTGCTGTCTTACCATTTTAGTGTTATCAAGACATATAGGATAAGAGAATAGTGTACCTCTTTAAAGGGCAGCTTCCCAGTCAGTGTGAGGCCAAGCATCACCATTCGAGCCACCCAGAAGAACAAGATGTCATGGCCAGTCTCCAGGAGTGCACCAGGGTAGAAAACGGACAGATCTTCATTCTAAAGGAGAGAGGTGTGTAAAGTAAGGCATTGTGGCATGTTTACAACTTCGTCCAGTTGCCTTTGCTGCTTAAAAGTAGAGGTAAAAACGTGGCTCAAGCACCTATTTTTATCGCCCACTGACTGCAGGTGTAAACAAGACCCTACATTCAGAAACAAAAATAATATTACAAACACTAACTTTATTGGATGAGACAATCTTGCTAAGAATAAAATGAGTCATTCTACACAAATACATATTTCAGTATTGGCTGAACATTGAAGGGTTGAACCATTTAACACTTTCTTCCTACTTTCTGGAATTCTATTGGTGAGATGTCTGTACACCTGCCTAGGCCACTATCCACTTGCCCTCCGGAAGACTTATCCCCCCCCTTCCTGACCAGGCCATTTTTTGCTATTCAGCACAGCGCTATTTCAACTGGTAATTCTGTGGTCATGCAATGTTGTACCCAAACAAAGTTTATGTTCTTTTTTTTTTAAAACACAAATAGAGGTTTCTTTTGCTGGTATTTGATCACCACTGGGTTTTTTATTTTTTGTGTTGTTATGAATGAAAAAAGACAAAAAAAAAAAAAAAAAAGAAGATGTTCTACTTTCGGTTATAAAAAATATCCAATAAACTCAAAGCTAGCCCCCAAAATCCAATGACCACTTTTAGGTATTCCCTCATGTCACTTCCTGACTACCTATCACAGTTTCGGAGGCCCTAAAATGCCAGGACAGTACAAACCAAAAATGCCAGGACAGTACAAACCCCTCCCCCCCAAATGACCACTATTTGGAAAGTATACACCCCAAGGAATTTGATAAAAGGCATGATGAGTATTTTGCAAATATCATTTTTATCACAGGGCTTCGAAAAAGAAAAAAAAGAAAGAAAACAAAAATTTTTTTTTCTTTTCTTCATTTTCCAAAAACTTGTGGCAACAATGTGATTTGCAAAATACTCACCATGCCTCTTAGCAAATATCTTGGAGTGTCTACTTTCCAAAAAGGGGTCATTTGGGGGGGTGCTTCTATTATCCTGGCATTTCAGGGCCTTTACAGGTCACCCCTTTACATCTACACAGAAGGTCCAGTGCTAGAATTACTGCCCTCAATCTGATGTTCAAGGTGATATCTCACATGCATGGTGAAATCTCTGTTTATGCGCACAGGAAGGGGGGGGACGGGGTTGATTTTTTACTTATGTACACTGTACCTTTCTTTTTTTTAATAATTTTTATTGTGAAAGGGAATGTAAATATCCCCTGTGAAATCAAAAGGCAATGACAAGTACTCTTTTCTGAGAAATCTGGGGTCCATTAGACTCTACATTTCTCCTCTGCTCTTAAAGCATCTGATCACACCAAGAACGGTGTCATCAGAGGCTTTCCCAATTTAAAAATGGCGCTGTTAATATCTGGCGAAAAGAAAATTATGAAATGCGCGTAGCTTCCGGTTTCTTTTTTCTGGTCTTCGATTAACTCTATGGTCAGCCGGCGGAAGTGCCGGCTGCATTTTCGGATTCCCCTGTGGGACGAGAGAGCCCAAGAAAACTGTAGAAGGCGGCGGGAGGGGGGGGGGGTAACGACGTCCCTTCCCGCTGCTTGTAAAAATGATCCAGCAGCTACATGTCACATGGACAGTGCTGACCAAACAGATGCCATCAAGCCCAAACTGTCATCGCTACAAAGAGAGGAAAGTAAGCGTCAGAGATTTCAAATCTCTGCCACTATCTCTCCTCTCCTACCACTGAGAGGCAGTATGGGACGCCTGCAGGGAGGTTTCCCACATTGCTCCTGTGTGAACTCCAGCAATGACAAGCCTGGGTTCACACAGGAGTAGAGGGGAAACCGCATGCAATATGCATTCTTGTTCAAATCCCATGATAATCTTTGCGGTGTAATTTGCATCCATTAACACAAATCGCACCGCAAACTATCAGTATCGGCGAGTACTTGACCGAAAGTGTTGGTATCGTACTCGCCGATAAAATAAATGGTATCGGTGCATCCCTAATTATTAGCAAAGGAAAACTGGCTCAAAGTAGTAAAAAATATTTTTTTTTGTAAAATGTACTTGTATTTTTTTTTTCTATTAACATGACCAACCACTAAAGAACAACCCAAATTCTCCTGCTCCTAACAATTTCAGCAATACTACATACGTGCATGTTATTTGTTGTTTATACTTGTAGTAGGGCCCAGAATCATTAGTGTGCATTTTTCTTTTTTATCCTACCTAAAACACACAATAAAAAATGCTTTTTGTTTTTTTTTTTTTTTAAATTCCCAACCTGGCCCTGATCTCTGACCCCAACCTTGACATTATACCTAACCCTGAGAATGACCTAAGTCAAACCTGATCTAGATATTTTAATGTATTTTTTTATATTTTTACGGTTTACAATTTTCCCCTGTAGCAAGGAGAAAAATATACACTGTACCTTGCATTTCCTTTCAAGAGGAGAAGGAACACAGGCTGGGCTATAAAGTGACTGATCATTGTGATTGCCAATTACAGGCTACCACAACAATCCCCTGATCGAGAGCCGGTCCCCCTGTCTCCCTGTCTGTAACAGCTCAGTCTCTGCTGTGCAGTGCACTCTCAGCACGAACACCTGTATGCACATACGAGGCCCCACAGCAGAAGACCCACTTCCGTGAGGCCGCATATGTGCCTATGCTCAATGGGAAGGAGTTAAATACCTTATGGTGCTATACAATAGAGCACCATTATATTTATTCACCAAAACAGTGCAATAAGAAATTGTGGACAACAGCAACAAATAACATTTCAATCTAAGATCATATCCGATTGGCTTTTAAGAGATGAAATTCATGTCATATGAACAACTTTCTGCAGAACTTCTCACCTCATTGGGCCAGCCAAAGATGGAGAATGGGAACAGACCAGAAGAAAACCATGTGTCAAGCACATCCTCATCTACAGAACAAAAAAGACAGTTATCCCAATGACATCAAGCTACATGGTCCAAATACTTTTAGAGGTATTAACCTGATGTTTCTCAGTTTCAGTTCTCCAATATTCTAAACACAGGTCATGGTTACAGTATTTGCCTTCCCTGCACAGGGTATGTTATTTGTGTTGCAAACATAGTAAGCATACAGCTGCTTCCACTAAGGGATATTTGGAAAAAAATACTTTTTGGGGGTATCAGAGGACTATACTATGCAACTGGACAGCAGCTATTATAACTGCTGCCTTGAGATGTAGAAGGAGTCTTTCTAGATTGTGTCCTATGGGGGAATGGAGATGTATTTCCTCCCTTCCTGTCTGGAGACAGCAGGAAGTTGGAGGACATCTCTTTAACCACTAGCCTACAGGGCACTTATACCCCCTTCCTGCCCAGGCCAATTTCCAGCTTTCAGCGCTGTTGCACTTTGAATGACAATTGCGCGGTCATGCAACACTGTACCCATATGACATTTTTAGCATTTTTTTGTGACAGATAGAGCTTTATTTTGGTGGTATTTAATCACCTCTGGGTTTTTTTATTTTTTCTTAAACAAACCAAAAACCACAGAAAATTTTGAAAAAAAAAAAAAAAAAGTCTTAGTTTTTGTTATAAAATTGTGTAAATAAGTGATTTTTCTCCTTCACTGATGTGCGCTAATGAGGCTGCAGTGATGGCCACTAATTGGCTGCACTGATGGACACTGATAGGTGGCACTGATGGGCACTGATGAGGAGGCAATGGTAGGTGGCACTGATGGGCATTGACAGGCATCACTGATGGGCACTGAAAGGCAGTACTGATAGGCGGCACTGACTGGCACTGATAAGCGGCACTGATAGGCAACACTGACGGGCACTGATAGGTGGCACTGATGCGAAGCACTGACGGGCACTGATAAGCGGCACTGATGCACACTGATAGTCGGCGCTGACTGGCACTGATAGTTGGCATTGACTGGCCCCGATGGGTGACACTGAAAGGCAGCTCAGATGGGCACTGATATGTGGCATTAATGTGGCACTGATGGGCACTGTCAGGTGGCATGGATGAGCACTGAGAGCTGGCACTGATGGACACTGACATGTGGTGCTGCTGGGGCTACACAGATCATCAGGGCACACTGATCATCAGTGCTCTGATGATCTGTGTACATGACCCCTCCGAATGCCGAATTACTGGCTCTCCTCTCCTCACTAGCTGTCAGCGTGACAGCTCGTGGGGAGAGAAATGCCGATAACCGGCATTTCCCTGTTTACATGTGATCAGCTGTGATTCGACATAGCTGATCACGACCGAGCCGACATCTTCGGCTCTTTCCGTGGATCGGTGATCCGCTGTGTCCGAGGGACACAGCGCACCGCCGATCGCCGCGTGCTCTGAGAGCCTCGCCTGCGCGGTTAGAATGGGGAGGACGTCATATGACATCCTCCCAGAACGAGAGAACCGCCTTGCGTCCGTCATATTACTATATGGTGGGAGGGAGGTGGTTAAAATCCCCTCTTAGGCAGTCACCAAAACAAGTGTACCTCTTGAAAGACGTCCTCCCTATTCCTATTAAAGTGACCACTCAAAATGTTTGATTTGCCATCACAGTGAGAGTGGTTACCAGGACAAACAGGGAAAATAAATCTCCCCAGCCGTCACATAGAAAGCTGTAGCAATCTAAAAAGGGTTCTATCCCCTCACATTCTATCCCAAACTAAAATAAAGTTGGCTTTAGATACAAGAATGTTGTTTTAAGCAAAGAAATTCAAAGCTTCTCGACTTAGAGGTTTAGTGAAAAAAAAAGGAGGAAAAGAAAAGCCTGAATAAAACAAAACCAATGCAGCCACCATATATATATATATATATATATACACATACACACACACACACACACAGTAAGTACTGGTTAGCTGCAATATAGTATATCAGTTTGGTTTTTGGGTATAGAAATGATTTAAGAAAAGTAGAAGAACCTCCTCTATTGAGGTGATGGAAATAGTTTTTTCAGTATGGGAGCAAATGCTGTTTGAATGCTCCCTGAAGGGTGTGCCCAAGCTGACAAATAAAACATTTCCTGTTATAAGGTGACAATACTCACTCACTGTGCTTCACCTATAGAGCAGCAGTGTTGTCACCAAAGGACAGGAAATGAGTTAGCACTACAAAACATCCCTCTTTCTCATCACCATTACAAGGGAGATGGTGTTCTGTACTTCACAGAAGATGAAAGAGAAAGCTCATAACATTATTTGAGATTTCAGTTCAGCTCACATGAAGTTACAAGCTCACATGAAGTTACAATGATTTCTGGCAAAGTCAACAGGGATCTTCCTGTACTTATAAAAAATGTTCTTGGTCTGAAAAATTTAAATTTATGCATCCACCACATTAAATGTAAAAAAATAAATAAATAAGAAAAACAAACTCCCTTTAATAAGTGAACTCTAGTAATGTCTATTTTTAAGGACATACCCTGTTTAAGTGTAACTTTTGCAGGAGCCACATTAAACGTTTTCGCTGCCTTTTGTCTTGCTTCCTCCTCTGAACGACCGCTGATCCAGTACTTGCCATCTGTGTCCTGTGTAGACAACATTTACAATAACAAAACCCGTAAGATCTTTATATGTTCTTTACAAGTTACATCCCTACCTACACCCTCTCCAGCTAGTTACTCAGAGAGTACTCTCCTATCTATAGAACTATTCTTACACCCCAAGCAGCTCACCTCTCCTGGTGGTACTGAAGGATCGTTGATGGTGACAAAGTAGGCTGGAATTCGATGACCCCACCACAGCTGTCGTGATATGCACCAGTCCCTAGGAAGAGAGCACAACATGGACAAAAGTCAGTTAGCAGAGGTCTAAAGACAAATGGAGAAAAAAAGAGATACCAATTCAAAACCTATTTGTAGGCATGCTGCACCACATTGTTTGAAAGAAATTTAGAGATTTTCCTGAAAACAGTTACACTCTGTTCAATGCTTTACAGCTTTCACATAATTAAAGAAATCCCTAAACCGAGTTAAAAATGGGGAAATCCACTGCTGACCACTACTTTTGAAAATACTTGTTGCCTTGCTGTCATGCTGAACTGATGGCTTCAACAGTGTTTCTGGCACTGACCCATACCAAGTTTACAGATCAGGAGTTCTGGCTTCATTTGCTACATGCTTGGGTTAGGTGAGTGAGAAAATACTGAAGCCAAAGACAATCAGGCAATAAGCATTTTCAGAAGGTCAGCAATGGCAGCCTAGATATTTCTACATATTTCTATCAGTGTCCATAGGAAAGCCAAAGCTGTATGAATCCCAAGCTCTTATCTGAAAACAACCATCCTGGCATGTTGAAAAGGAACAGTCACAGGTGCTCATGGAATTAAATATTTATCAAAGGCAGAACATCCTCAATAATCAGTCTAAATGTATGAGGGTTCTTCAAAACGTTACACACACACGTGTATATTTTGTGTGTTAAAAAGTGTGGTAACTTTTTGAAGAACCCTCATACATAGCCAGTCTCAGAAAAGTGCCTGAGCTTCATGTAGCCTTGGCTGATTGTTAGAGGGTGCTGCCATCAATATCAACTCTGTGGATACCAATAATAGCTCCTCCCTTAACATTCACTCTGTCTTGGCACATATAATTTCAGATAATTTGCTCAGTCAGCACACATTAGGTTTCATGTGTAGGAAAGCGAGTTGAGGGTTATAATTTACTGAATTTCTTGTAAGTAACAGAATATAAATGATAGACAAAATAAAGAACTCCTGCGCTACCTCAATGTGACCGTTTAATGAATAATAATGTATAGAGCTTCTGCTAGCATCAAGAATTGTGTTCCCACAACAGAACCATAAATAAGTAAAAAACTTAATGCTGCGCTGCTAAAGTAAAGTACACATACCAAATCATCAAACAATTGAATATGAAAACATCAAATATACATAAAAATAAAATGTCCATAGAAACAAGTCCATTGGAATATGAATTAGAACAGTGAGTCGTGGATATAGCTCGTGGAGCCGAGCCAAGTGACACGGGGCCCCCGGGGACAACACTGCTGACAGATTTGATCCTAAGCGACCCTTAAAGGGACCGTTTTTTTTCTCTGGTTCGGAGATCAAGGGAAAGGAAAGAGGGCACCCAGTGGTTCTAAAATTGTGGATGACCAGGAGAGTGAAGGAACCCCAATTTCTTCATTATCTTAAGTGCATTCTAATTGTCTTAAGGTAAGAGTTCTGTGAGCACTGAGGTGGCACAATCTACATGTTTTGCAGCACCCTAAGAGATGGTGTTGGTTATATGAGCATGTGAGAAATCCGATGGAGTTGTGAAGGAAGTTGATGTAAAGCTATATCCACGATTCACTGTTCTAATTCATATTCACATGGACTTGTTTCTATGGACATTTTATTTGTATGATTTATGCACAATTTATGTATATTTGATGTTTTCATATTCAGTTGTTTGATCATTTGGTATGTATACTTTACATTAGCAGCACAGCATTAAGTATATTTTAGAATATATATTATGATATCCATCCATCATGACAATATCAAAGATAATACCAAAGATGCTTCATGACAGAAACAGGCATACCAGCTGCTCTACCCTTACGGTACAAATTTAGGAATAAGGTCTCTAGGAAGCAGCACACCCTGTTCAGGGTCTGTGTGCCCAGACTTCCTTTAGGCTACAGGTACTGTGATTACATGACTGGTTACCTGATATTGTCCATCCAGCTGAACCAGGTCTTGGTGTGAAATTCAGGTTTGATTGTCAGGTGTCCATTCTGCACAACATCCGCTGCTTTCTTGCCCATCTCATCGCAACGTACATACCACTGGGGCTTTAGGAGGGGCTCCACAATATCCTTGGATCGACTAAGAGGGAGAAATGAATGCAGAAAACAAAATTTAAAAAAACCAGAGGAAGGTAACATCACTGTGATTTTACATGCATTAAAAAAAAAAAAAATCTCAGAACCGTATAAAACATGTTACCTGCATATAGGGACCACCATAGGATTATCCTTTATCTCCTTAAAAAGTCCCTTTTGTTTCAGAGCCTCTAAGACCGCTTTTCTGGCCTCAAAGCGTTTCATACCCTGAAACGTGAAACCAGACTTTAACTTTTGAGTCTCAGAAAAACAGTGAAAAGGAAAGCAATGAGGAAACCTATTAAAGCTAAAGTTTAATCTGCTTAAAATTTTCCCTTCCCTAGCTCCTCCTTTCCCTCGATCATTATAATGATATTTTTCAAAAAAGTTAGTTTGGACCAAGAGCAAGGCGGGGGAAGAAATTATTTTAGATGTCCCCAGGAACATAATGACTAGCTCTCTGTGTTTATTATCAATACAGATGTTCATAGCTGGTGAAAGGAGCTAGCAGGCTGCTGTGCATAGCTTCCTGAAATCATCACAGCACCCTGCCTCAGTACTCCTCTCAAGAACCCTCACCATAACGCAAACAGTGCACTGGTTCTTGGAGGAGTTGTGCAAATATCAAAATGCCATGATGGGTTGATATCAGTCTGGAGAAGTGGGAATTTCCATCTGCATAAAGACCGCCCTACATAAAGCCAACGGATGCTTAGCCTCCCTGATTGTAAAAATTTAAATCCAATGAAATGGGTGGACCACGGAGAGCAAGGCGGGGGAAGAAAGTGCTAGCTAATACTAGATGTCCTCCAGGAAGGAAATGAAGTGGGCTTTATCTGATTTATTGGAGACGCCTATACAACTATGCAAGGTAAGGCTGAAGTTCTGATTTAAAAGAAAGACAATACAGAAAACAGTACTGACATCTCAATGATGCCTACCATTAACCATCATTTTAGCTGCATTCTCCTACAGTTTGGTTTTGAGAAATCCAGCCCGATGTAACCAGCAACTTATGACATTTTGTGGTAGCACCGATTGCTAACCCCACTCCCTGGGCATTCCTACTGGCAACTCACTATGATGAGAAGCCTTATTTGCCAATAGGATCACACAGGAGGGAGTGGGTCAGCGCTCAACATTACCACAAAGAGTTGAAATTTGTTGGCTTTAGAAGCCTAGGATTTAGGGAGCTAAGACTGAGAATGAATTAAAATACATAAGCAAGCACTATAATGGTGTAAAAAATTATCAGAACTTCAAAGCAGTGGCCTAGATAATATGCCATGGTACTGGAAGATCACTTAATAGAACGATTATCTTAAACACTAATCACACTTAAACTTACCCTTAATGGTATTTCCTTGCCTCTAACAGCCAGAAGAATTAAAAGTGTTAAGGGTTGTGCGTGGACACACCTAAGTAGCATGTCATAACTGTAGGGCTGGTTTGACGCTTTCTGAGATCCTTTGTGGTGCCATAACTTGAGGTAGGGTGAGCTGCACCAAACCAACACATTCAATATGAACATCATAACAAATCAAAAATGTACCTGCAATGCGTTGTGCTCTACTGTACAACACGCTTCGGTGCCATCCATAATAAATGATCCAACACATCACACATAGAGCAGGTGCATTGCCATACATGCTATACTGCAAACCACAAGTTTCAATGGGTCTAAACAGATAAGGGCAGTCACAGACACAGCGCATCTCCTAGCGACCTCCAGTTGACCATAAAGCATGACAATTAATTTTTATAGTGAAAGCTTGAAATTATTCCTGGTGAAAAATAGATTGATGATAATATCTTCACATGAACAAAAAAGGCTGGAAACAATCATGGGGCCCATCCCCTAGGTTTTCTTACCAAGAATGGCTCAGGCACATTGACCAGACTACCACTGTCATCCATGATGTTAACAAAATCCAATGAGTGTCGCAGCCCCACCTCATAATCAGTCTGATCATGAGCTGGAGTGATCTTCACCGCTCCTGTGATGGGTTACAAAACAGAAAAAAAAACAGAGAATGTGTGAGCAGAACTAAAGGAAGACCCCAAAACAAAACAAATAGGTGTAGGAGATGAGCAGTACATCTTTGTTCAGATTCATGTGAGCCGTGTTCTGCGAGTAGGGCACCCCATTCATTTCAATGGGTCTGCCCTACTCACAGAAACATTGGGAAAAAAGTCCCTGGCCTTTTGTTTAAACTGCACTGCATGGACCCACAAGGTATACGGGCATTTTGTCGATGTGTGCGGGATTAAGAACTAATGGTACTCCTGCGCATCTTTAAAAGAGCATGTGTTCTGCCTGCAGGTCAGACTCGCATGCAATTTTGCAAAAGCTTCCATCCTGTAATAATGTGAACCTAGCCTTAAATTCCCACTGAAGTCTTACTTTACATCAGATAGATAAATAGAAACTTCATGCAATCCTATGCTGGTAGATGTGCTACTAACCTTTGATAATATCTTCACTGCAACAACAGCATGAACACTGCAGGACATGGTAACAGGCTGCAGGTAGGATCGTTGCCATCACTGTGTGAGCAATGATCTTCTCTGCAGTAATCTGACCCATCCCCCCACAAATCAAAGATAGAGTCGTGCAAACTGCAAAACTTAGGCTCCCTGCAGATTAGCCCTGCAAGGAACATGCATAGTTGCTAAATGAAGTACTAAAGCTTCGTGAATATTAGGTCACCTCCATGTCTTCAGATTGGAAAATGAATAAGCTTCATCACCTGTGTCCAGTGAGTTAGCCAAAATTATAAATCCTCTAGCATGCAAAACAGTCAACATGTATGTATTTCAACCATCTCAGTGGAGTTTGACTTAAACAATAAAGACTCCACACATTTCCCTCTATCCAATTATGTGCACTGCCGTTCTCTTTTTTCCTAATGTACTGCTGTCTATATAGTTAATATCAACTAACCTGTCCCAAAGCTCATATCCACAAACTCATCAAAGACAATGGGAAGTAGGCGGTTCCCAAACGGATGAACAACACTCTTTCCTTTCAGATGCTGAAACAATCAAAGACAAGAGAAGGGACGTTATTTCTGCTAAGTATACTAATGAGTCTTTGTAAATCCTTTAGAACACTGGAGGGTATACTGCTAGTAACAATTTTTCTCACCCGATAGCGCAGATCTTGGGGATGGACAGCCACTGCTGTATCACCCAGCATGGTCTCCACTCGAGTTGTAGCCACCACAACCTCTTCACCTAGTAGGAAGAAGATAAGACCCAGCAGGTAAAAAACACATCATCCAAGCAAACAGAAGTGGGAAAGCCTGGAACAAGTTTGGTATTGATTATCATGACTGATGTTATTTTTACCTGTATTTTGTACTTTGTAAGCAAAAGAAACCAGCACCCCAAACTCTACACCCTCTTTATACCCAGGCACAGGCAACACCGTACGACCAGTAAGTTCTTTCTTATCCACCTAAAATAAAAAATAATCAAATCACAGTCACAACTTTTCTCTAAGCAGTCCCCAGTTACAATGTCACAAGTGACTCTCTGTTCTCCTCTGAGTTTTCCCGATATGGAGGAGTACGACTGTGTAACAGTATAAAAAATTAGGCAGCTAACTAATGTGACCAAGGATGCAGCAAATACAAAACAAATACTTTAAAAACTGAAAAGCATCAATGCAAAATAATTGTGTCCAGTGTCCATTTCTTTCACGTTTGTGGTGACCATTCCAGCTGTCAAAAACCACTGGCTGGGTGGCTCCTATCCACTGATGTAGTGTGCCTTTACCACCTAGTTTATTTAATATTTTTTTGTAACAAGGAGAACATTTCTAATTTGGCATGTGGAGCCTTTAATCCCTCCTAAAACCACTCCTCACCTCTATATCTGATATGGCTGAGTTCAGTGTACATGACCAGTTGACAAGCCTCTTGCTGCGATAGATCACACCGCTCTCGTGAAGGCGAATGAAGGCTTCCTGTACAGCATGTGATAATTTCTAAGGAAAGAACAATAGTCATAAGCAACACTAGCAACAGCGTTGTCTGAGTAGACAAATTTGGAGAAGAGACATTTTCTCACCGGCTCCATGGTGAAACAAGCTCTATCCCAATCTAGGGAGCTACCCAGAATTCTCAGCTGGTGATAGATTCTGTCACCTTTCCTGAAAAAACAGCACAATAGGTTAACTATGAGGGTTAAAATAGCATCATATGGATATACCTACTTCCTCCAAACAGGTGTGACTTACTCATTCTTCCACTTCCACACACCTCATCTATAAATGCTTCTCTGCCCAGATCATGCCGGGTCTTTCCATGCTCTCTCCAAAGCTTCTTCTCCACAACTACCTGGGTGGCTATCCCAGCGTGGTCACAACCTGGGTTCCACAAGGTCAGCTCACCATTCATGCGATGCCTGGAAGTAAAAAAACAATAATACGTTTTTTTTTCTCCTTTTTTATACAACCCCTTGTTAGTGTGATAAATGTATAAACTAAGCGTGGACAAATCCTAGAGGATCCCCTAAAAATGATAGTTCTCAAGTAAATATTAAAGCATTTTTTTTCTTTCAATTAAGAGTGGGGAAAGGTTAGAGCCTAGGTGTTTTCCATTGCTCCACTTTACTATTTGTCCTGGTGACCACTGTCAAAGAAAGTAATGGGAAATGTAACATTTTACAATTTTCACTATATCATGAGTAGGGGAGATACTGTATCTTCCAATGGGGTGACCTATTCCAATGACAACTGTAATTGTTAATTTCATGACATTAAAGCTGAACTCTACGCAGATAAACACAGATGAATGCAGCTCTGTATTCATTAATACACAATTAACTACATGCACACCTTTAAATGAAAATCACCAGCTGCCAAACATCTAGTGTCCAGAATATCCCATTCAAATATATGGATCCTTATTGCACAGGAATCTTGGCACTAGATTTTTACCACAGCGAGCGATTTTTGAGTTAAAGGTGTACATGTACTATATATATTTTGTTTGTTTAAATGCAGTGTAAGTATCTGAATTTGACTTATAAGTCACTTGGAGTCCCCATAGAGCAGAAATAAGAATTGGAAAGGGAGAAGCAAAACAAGGAGCCAGGAAAAAGCAGAGTGGCAGAAAGATAAGCTCATCAGTGTGCTGTTCCTCTGTTCACTGTTGGGGCACACGCTGGGGAAGGGACAAGACCTGTAAATATTACTTAAAGATTACCTCCACTTTTGTGGAGAAAAAAACATTTCCCTCTGGGTGATCTATGTACATTGCAAAGATTTTAACAAACTTTGTTGCAGAGTCCTACCTTTTGTTATTCTGAAGAGAGCTGTTTGTTTGTCCGTGCTGAGTGAATCTTTACGGGAGTGGTTTCATAATTATCTGACAGCTGCTGCATCTGCAGGGCTCTAATGAGGAAAACTGCAGGGACTGCAACCCTTTAGACATTTTCTATTGGGGGTATTCTCACCAAAATTACACTTCTGGGGGCTGTTCTGTACACCATCTGTGTACAGAACACCTCCAGGCAGCCATATTGCATTTACAGAAAATTACAGCGGCTTTAGATTGAAAAGGAAAGGTCATTTTTAATAACATTCGATTACAATATGACTTTTGTCACAATTGTATGTGCTATATTTTTTTTATTTGCTATATTTTTTTTCCCCCCATGAAAGTGGAGTTACCCTTTAAGTGCAGCAGATAAACAATAGGTCTCCAACCCTGCCAGACAGAACTCTGCTGTGTGGAAGACCTGTGTAAATCTCTGAACTTTTTGGAGAGAAATACAATTTCTCAAGAGATAAAATAGCTCCAGTATATGCATTTCATATGTGTATTTAGCAGTTTGCCAGGAGTTCAGATTTAAGTTAGGAAAGCACGCTTGTCTTTTTTAATAAAAAAAAAACAACAATTTTACATGTTAAAATAACATGTGCAATAAGTGTCTAATAAAGAAGTGTCTAATAAATAGAAGTCCCTACAAGACCTCGGTTTATTAGGGGCACTACACGCACACAAATATGCCTGTTTTAAATGTCGAAATTCAGCCCAATCCAAGTGTGTGGAAGACCTGTGTAAATCTCGGAACTTTTTGGAGAGAAATACAACTTTCTCAAGAGAAAAAAACAGCTCCAGTATATGCATTTCCTATGTGTATTTAGCAGTTTGCCAGGAGTTCAGATTTAAGTTAGCAAAGCATGCTTGTCTTTTTTTAATTTAAAAAAAAAAACAATTTTACATGTTAAATAAAAAAAGCTTAGCGCTGCCTTTATCCTGTTTGCCTCCCTGCCCAATCAATACTACCAATATCGTGTCTAAAAAAAAAAAAAAAAACCAGCTTCACATCATTTTTGTATTTTGTTGTTTGTGTGCTGCCCACACCATGAGCTCACCAGCGAGTCAGGCTGTCTTGAATGGCATTCGTCAAAGCGTGACCTAGATGAAGAGATCCAGTCACATTTGGAGGAGGGATACACATCATGAATGTGCCTTTAGGATTGGGCTTTGAGATGCTGGTTCTCTGAAAGACACAATATTGTGATCATTTCACAAACCTGTCAAGTTTAGCATATGAGAAAAATACAAATGGAGAGTTCATGATTTAATGATTGTTTTGACAAGCCATCTTCAATGAACTTGAACTTCCTTATGCAGTTTTTACCTTTTCACTGTCTGCCTGGAATTTGTGATCTACAGTAGTTACACAAGCACAGTACAGCATAGAAATCTTAAATTTAAAGGAAAATCTAAGCATCAAATGAAAAAAGGTAAAAAAAGAAGTTAGATGCCTTGTTTTTTAGAGTCAACAGCCTGAATATAAAAAATTGCAATTATTACATTGGCCCAGTCCTTTGATGACCGTTCTCATAGCACAGCAAAAAAAGGCAGCGGGAAAAGGTTATGTTTGCAAATGTGTAATGCACACTTGACATGAGCCAAATAAACAACATAGTGGACCTATGTTGGAAGAGGATTTGCAACAAAATGGCACAGATATTAGCTACAGATTTCTGCCTAGTCTGACTTTCTCTGATAAGAATCTGTAGAGATGCATACCAGAGGGAGGACCGAGCCAGGAGAAGCTGCCACTGTCTAGCTGAGCAGAGGAGAGGAGTGGAGGGATGAGGTAGCTAGCAGGTATCCTCTAATAAGTGCCCAAACAGAAGCTCACCAGAGGGTGCAGGCAGCTCAATGCTGCTCTGGGGCTTGCACTTTTCTCTTCCATCAGTGGTCATTTTCCCGAGAAAGCAATACAGTGAGCTGCTATAGTATGTTGTACCACTCCCAGCACAGTGACAGTGTGCTGAGTGTGTGCACTGTCACTGTGCAATAAGTGTCTAATAAATAGAAGTCCCTACAAGACCTCGGTTTATTAGGGGCACTACACACACACAAATATGCCTGTTTTTAAATGTCGAAGGTGCTGTAAATTCTATTCTGCCAATAAAGAAGTCTTGCAAGAAATTCAGCCCAATCCAAGTCTACCGATACCTTTTTGTCTTACCCATTGATCCTAGTGGGTGTTACAGGTGTACCTGGTTGGCACAGGTTCCCCTTTTGACTGGTCACAGATCAGTTCTGAGGGGATACAGTTCTTGGACAGAGTTACAATACCATCAGGATATTTTGGGTCTGCCTTTGAACTTTTTTCTAGCGGGACACGTTCAGATAAACTCTAAATGGCCTCTTCTAAAACAGTGTCTTCACTTACATCAAGAAATTTAGACCATTCACAGTGTTTTACCACGTTACCACAAAAGCATGGTAACAAGTACCACAGTGCAATGTGTTGCAATTCATTTTCATTGAAATTCCAATGGACTGACACAAAGCATTGTAAAACACCTCAATGCACAGATGTGAATGAACTGTGCGATGTGGTCAATTGTGTTTAAAAAGAAAATGGCACAATTTTAGGTGTGCTGCGATTCATTTAAAATGAGCAGGCTTCCTTCTAATGCAACATAACACATTCAATATGCCCACATTAAGGCAAAACACAGGTGTAAACAGGTCCACAACTTCACATTATCTAGGCACTCACCCCATACTCTGGCTTAAAGAACCCCTCCTTCTCCCACCATGGATACCAGGCTGCCTCCACATACTGAGGACTGTATGAATCTGGCATACTGCCGGATACATCTAAAAGCAAAACAAAAAAACAAAAGAAAAACCATTTAAGATGGAAATCCCGAAAGCATGGCACCGTTAAATAATAGCAAACATAATACTAGAATTCCAAAAAAACAACATTTAAAAAAAAAAACAAATACCGTATTTTCCGGCATATAAGACGACTGGGCGTATAAGACGACCCCCCTACTTTTCCTGTTAAAATGTAGTGTTTGGGCTATACTCGCCGTATAAGACTACCCCTCTTCCAATGCACACCAGTGGGAAGAATCGTGCCCCATCATTAGTATCAGTGGGAGGAATAGCACCCCATCATTGGTGTCAGTGGGAGGAATAGCACCCCATCATTGGTGTCAGTGGGAGGAATAGTGTCCCATCATTGGTGTCAGTGGGAGGAATAGCACCCCATCATTGGTGTCAGTGGGAGGAATAGCACCCCATCATTGGTGTCAGTGGGAGGAATAGCACCCCATCATTGGTGTCAGTGGGAGGAATAGCACCCCATCATTGGTGTCAGTGGGAGGAATAGCACCCCATCATTGGTGTCAGTGGGAGGAATAGTGTCCCATCATTGCTGTCAGTGGAGGAATAGCACTCCATCATTGGTGTCAGTGGGAGGAATAGCACCCCATCATTGGTGTCAGTGGGAGGAATAGCACCCCATCATTGGTGTCAGTGGGAGGAATAGTGTCCCATCATTGGTGTCAGTGGGAGGAATAGCACCCCATCATTGGTGTCAGTGGGAGGAATAGCACCCCATCATTGGCGTCAGTGGGAGGAATAGCGTCCCATCATTGGTGTCAGTGGGAGGAATAGTACCCCATCATTGGTGTCAGTGGGAGGAATAGTACCCCATCATTGGTGTCAGTGGGAGGAATAGCACCCCATCATTGGCGTCAGTGGGAGGAATAGTGCCCCATCATTGGTGTCAGTGTGAGGAATCGTGCCCCATCATTGGTGTCAGTGGGAGGAATAGTGTCCCATCATTGGTGTCAGTGGGGGGTGGAATAGTGCCCCATCATTGGTGTCAGTGGGGGGGGGGAATAGTGTCCCATCGTTGGTGTCAGTGGGGGGGTGGGGGAAGTGCCCCATCGTCGGTGTCAGTGGGAGGAATAATGCCCCATCATTGGTATCAGTGACACCAATGATGGGGCACTATTCCTCCCACTGACACTTGCTGACCCCTGTTCAGTATGGTGCTGCTGCAGCAAGCATATATGGTTGCAGCAGCACCTGTGCACGGCACACTTACCTTCACTTGGCGGAGCCGCTCGGCTCCACCTCCTCCCCGGTGATTGGCCGCCTGTGTGCCTTTCCTGAGCTACAGTTCTGGCGGCCAACACCGGTCGAGCAGCCGCACGAACATCCAATGGCCGAACTGAAGGAAGGAGCAGCTGCACTTCCTGGACCGGATCGTCATGGGACCGGAGCCAGGTAAGAAACAGCAGCCCCTGCCCACCCCTGTACTTAGTTTCACTTCCGTTGGAAGGGGGGGGGGGGCGGCGGCGCACCGCACCGCCCCCCTAAAAAGTGTCAGCATGCCGTATACCGGCGTATAAGACGACCCCCCGACTTTTGAGAGAAGATTTTCAAGGGTCAAAAAGTCGTCTTATACGCCAGAAAATACGGTACATTCTAAAAGCAGTACACAGCAAAAAATGGTTTACTTTCTCATGCCATTGATGATGTCCTTTTGAATGTTCTGGCTGCTTGGCTTCAATACTTTTTCAGTCAAAAATCCAGAAAAAGCACGTTATAAATTGAGTTTTAGAACTTCTTCTTTACTTGTTCTGGATTAGGGACTGTATTTTGGTCAAAACATTTGCATGACAGCCAAACAACAACTATTCTCAAAGGAGAGGTCAGTAATGGCAGCCACCATAATTCTCCAATGGCTTGTGGTGTACATTAGTACTGTATTAAACCTTCTAAAAGCAGATGGCGGCAGTAAGAGGAGGATGGAGTCATTCTTCTGAGTCTTTCACCAGCTAACATTCAGCTTGAGCTACTGAGCTCTGTAAACATCAGGGTTTTGTTTTTTGTTACTAACAGGTAAGGGAGCCTGAAGGTCTACTTTCTGACTGTACATGTAAATATGAACTTGTTATATGCAATATTTAATTTTTACTCATCTAAAACAAATGTAAAAATATTTAATTTATGTTTAGACATGGCTATATTAAAAATAAAATGTATTAAAATTAAAGACACATTTCCGTAAATGCATAAAATCTGCTGCAATGACCCATGCAGTATTCATTCACACCTAAGTGTTGCATTATAATGAAAACATAATGAAACATTGAAATATAAAACACTGCAACACAATGCAAAAGTGTGATTCTGCTCTGCCTATCCTACATTTTGGGCAGTTCAGGCTTTATTAAATACTAGCAAGTTATACGTTACAAGGATGTTGGTGAAACCACATTTCACAAATATTGAGCTTTCCCCATTGCTCTCTGTTGTGCTTCCCCATTGCTCTCTGTTGTGCTTCACTAAGCTTCTGTCATTTTTTTAACCCCTTACCACTTGCTCCAGAGTCCCTTTACCCCTTAGTAACTGAGGGTAAAACAAATGTTAATGCCTGAACAAAATTTTGCAACTCTGACATGTGTTTTAATAAAACCATACATACAACCCCTGGCAGAAAGTATGGAATCACCACTCTTGGAAAATGTTCATTCAATTGTTTGTGTAGAAATAAAAAACAATCACAGATATATTGCTTTTACGAATTCAATATTCAAGGCATATTGCTTTAAATTTTCTATCTTGACACTTGGGGGTTTATTTACTAAAGCTTGTTCACTCAGAATCTGGTGCACCTGTACATGGTAGCCAATCAGCTTCTAACCTCAGCTTGTTCGATTAAACTTTATCAATAAAAACTGGAAGCTGGTTGGTTTCCATGCTGAAGTGCACAAGATTCTGAGTGAACCAACTTTAGCAAATAAACCCCTTGATGTCTTCCTTGGTCTGTCAGTACACTTCCCTTTTACAACCTTCCCATCTGATTTGTACTTGGTCCAGATTTTAGGCACAGCTGATTGGGAACAACTAACATCTTTTGCAACATTCCGTGATGATTTACCTTCTTGAAGAAGTTTTATAATCCTTTCTTTTGTTTCAACTTACATCTCTGGTGTTGGAAATCAGCTTGGTGCAACAGCTCACTAAGGTGTACAAGCACTCTTTTTTTAACTGCAGACTAATTAGCAGATGTAATCTGATGCAGATGTTTGTTTTAGAATTGCAAAGTACATGGTGATTCCATAATATTTTCCTCCAAATTGAGTGATTCCATATTTTTTTCCTCTGCTTGATCTGCAAAAACAGTTGCAACGGACTACAGTCTTTTTTCTTTTTTTAAGTGTTTCTTAAAGCCAGAAGGTTGGAATCCTAAATTAAAATTAGTGTTGAGGCATGTCTGTGAATATTTTTTTTTCTCTACAGAATTAAAACAATTAAATGAACATTTTCCAAGAGTTCCATACTTTCTGCCAGGGGTTGTATCATCAAAACTACTTTGTGCATCTGGGGTGGATTATACTTTGTTTTTACAGGACAAATTGAACTCTCTCTTGTTGGGAAACATTAACAGATATCTCATGATTTATTTTTTTTATCAAAAGGAAAATGGGCCTAATATTGAAAAAAAAATAATAATTTTTTTAAATTTATCTTTATATTCCTTGCTAGTATCATAACCTACCACCAAAGAATAACTCCCCCCCCCCCCCCCCCCAAATTTTCCTACTCCTGCAGATCGCAGCGATACCACATATGTGTATATTAGTTGTTGTTTGTACCCGTAGTGCAGGCCAGAAACAATACTGCGCAGTTTTGCTTTTTTAATCCTACCTAAAACATACTGACACTAATATCAATTAAAAAAAAAAAAAAATCATACCAAAAATATACTGATCATGACCTTTGACCCTTAACTTGGCTCAAACACTAACCCTTGCACTAACCTAGATCAAACCTTGACCTAGCTATTTTCTCTTCATTTTATTTTTTTTAAACTTTTGTTTATTTACATCTTTCTCCCTGCAAGGAGAGAGATACAATGTATCACACAGGTGGGCTGACTGATCACTGCGATGGCCAATTAGAGGCTATCACAGCGATCAGGTGATCTAGAACAGAGAGTCTCAGGTCCCAATTGTTAGAACAGGACTTGGGGCTCCCAGCAAGATCAAAGACAAATAACATACCGGCCACTTTATTAGGTACACATTGCTAGTGCCAAAAAAATATCCCCCGCACCATTACACCACCACCACCAGCCTGAACCATTGATACAAGGCAGGATGGATCCATGCATTTATGTTGTTTACGTCAAATTCTGACCCTAGAATCTGAATGTCGCAGCAACCAGTCTGCCCATTCTCCTCTGACATCAGCAAGGCATTTTCATCCACACAACTGAATTTTCTCTGTAAACCCTAGAGATGGTTGGGCGTAAAAATCCCAGTAGATTAAAAATCCCAGTAGTCGATTTTGAAACACTCAGACCAGCCTGTCTGGCATCAACAACCATGTCATGTTCAAAGTCACTTAAATCCCCTTTCTTCCCCATTCTGATGTTCGGTTTGAACTTCAGCAAGCCCTCTTCACCATGTCTAGATGCCTAAATGCACTGAGTTGGAGCCATGTGATCGGCTGATTAGCAATTTGTGTTACCCAAGGTGTACCTAATAAAGTGGCAGGTGAGTGTATATGCGACATAAAGATAAAGCCCACTTCCGTGAAGTCACATATATGCATACGGTCGGCGGAAAACAGGTAAGGGAGCCTGAAGGTCCACTTTCTGACTGTACATGTAAATATGAACTTGTTATATGCAATATTTAATTTTTTTACTCATCTAAAACAAATGTAAAAATATTTAATTTATGTTTAGACATGCTATATTAAAAAATAAAATTGTATTAAAAAATTAAAGACACATTTCCGTAAATGCATAAAATCGCTGCAATGCCATGCAGTATTCATTCACACCTAAGTGTTGCATTATAATGAAAACATAATGAAACATTGAAATATAAAAACACTGCAACACAATGCAAAAGTGTGATTCTGCTCTGCCTATCCTACATTTTTGGCAGTTCAGGCTTTATTAAATACTAGCAAGTTATACGTTACAAGGATGTTGGTGAAACCACATTTCACAAATATTGAGCTTTCCCCCATTGCTCTCTGTTGTGCTTCCCCATTGCTCTCTGTTGTGCTTCACTAAGCTTCTGTCATTTTTTTAACCCCTTACACACTTGCTCCAGAGTCCCCTTTACCCCTTAGTAACTGAGGGTAAAACAAATGTTAATGCCTGAACAAAATTTTGCAACTCTGACATGTGTTTTAATAAAACCATATACATACAACCCCTGGCAGAAAGTATGGAATCACCACTCTTGGAAAATGTTCATTCAATTGTTTGTGTAGAAATAAAAAACAATCACAGATATATTGCTTTTACGAATTCAATATTCAAGGCATATTGCTTTAAATTTTCTATCTTGACACTTGGGGGTTTATTTACTAAAGCTTGTTCACTCAGAATCTGGTGCACCTGTACATGGTAGCCAATCAGCTTCTAACCTCAGCTTGTTCGATTAAACTTTATCAATAAAAACTGGAAGCTGGTTGGTTTCCATGCTGAAGTGCACAAGATTCTGAGTGAACCAACTTTAGCAAATAAACCCCTTGATGTCTTCCTTGGTCTGTCAGTACACTTCCCTTTTACAACCTTCCCATCTGATTTGTACTTGGTCCAGATTTTAGGCACAGCTGATTGGGAACAACTAACATCTTTTGCAACATTCCGTGATGATTTACCTTCTTGAAGAAGTTTTATAATCCTTTCTTTTGTTTCAACTTACATCTCTGGTGTTGGAAATCAGCTTGGTGCAACAGCTCACTAAGGTGTACAAGCACTCTCTTTTTTTAACTGCAGACTAATTAGCAGATGTAATCTGATGCAGATGTTTGTTTTAGAATTGCAAAGTACATGGTGATTCCATAATATTTTCCTCCAAATTGAGTGATTCCATATTTTTTCCTCTGCTTGATCTGCAAAAACAGTTGCAACGGACTACAGTCTTTTTTCTTTTTTTAAGTGTTTCTTAAAGCCAGAAGGTTGGAATCCTAAATTAAAATTAGTGTTGAGGCATGTCTGTGAATATTTTTTTTCTCTACAGAATTAAAACAATTAAATGAACATTTTCCAAGAGTTCCATACTTTCTGCCAGGGGTTGTATCATCAAAACTACTTTGTGCATCTGGGGTGGATTATACTTTGTTTTTACAGGACAAATTGAACTCTCTCTTGTTGGGAAACATTAACAGATATCTCATGATTTATTTTTTTTATCAAAAGGAAAATGGGCCTAATATTGAAAAAAATAATAATTTTTTTTAAATTTATCTTTATATTCCTTGCTAGTATCATAACCTACCACCAAAGAATAACCCCCCCCCCCCAAATTTTCCTACTCCTGCAGATCGCAGCGATACCACATATGTGTATATTAGTTGTTGTTTGTACCCGTAGTGCAGGCCAGAAACAATACTGCGCAGTTTGCTTTTTTAATCCTACCTAAAACATACTGACACTAATATCAATTAAAAAAAAATAAAAAATCATACCAAAAATATACTGATCATGACCTTTGACCCTTAACTTGGCTCAAACACTAACCCTTGCACTAACCTAGATCAAACCTTGACCTAGCTATTTTCTCTTCATTTTATTTTTTTTAAACTTTTGTTTATTTACATCTTTCTCCCTGCAAGGAGAGAGATACAATGTATCACACAGGTGGGCTGACTGATCACTGCGATGGCCAATTAGAGGCTATCACAGCGATCAGGTGATCTAGAACAGAGAGTCTCAGGTCCCAATTGTTAGAACAGGACTTGGGGCTCCCAGCAAGATCAAAGACAAATACACATACCGGCCACTTTATTAGGTACACATTGCTAGTGCCAAAAAAATATCCCCCGCACCATTACACCACCACCACCAGCCTGAACCATTGATACAAGGCAGGATGGATCCATGCATTTATGTTGTTTACGTCAAATTCTGACCCTAGAATCTGAATGTCGCAGCAACCAGTATGCCCATTCTCCTCTGACATCAGCAAGGCATTTTCATCCACACAACTGAATTTTCTCTGTAAACCCTAGAGATGGTTGGGCGTAAAAATCCCAGTAGATTAAAAATCCCAGTAGTCGATTTTGAAACACTCAGACCAGCCTGTCTGGCATCAACAACCATGTCATGTTCAAAGTCACTTAAATCCCCTTTCTTCCCCATTCTGATGTTCGGTTTGAACTTCAGCAAGCCCTCTTCACCATGTCTAGATGCCTAAATGCACTGAGTTGGAGCCATGTGATCGGCTGATTAGCAATTTGTGTTACCAAGCAATTGAACAGGTGTACCTAATAAAGTGGCAGGTGAGTGTATATGCGACCATAAAGATAAAGGCCCATTTCCGTGAAGTCACATATATGCATACGGTCGGCGGAAAAGGTTTAAATAGTTCTGAACGGCCAGGAGGCGGGAAGGATTTGCAATCACGTAACCACTGTCACAGTGGTCACATGATCAGAAACAGGTCCCGCCGGCTACCAATCTTTAGACCAGACTGAGAGCAGTCTTTGAAACCTCGGTCTTTAAGCTGGAAACGAGCACCAAGCGTGCACTCAACACATAAACATCGGCCACCCAACAATGCATGCGTGTGGAGTGTGAGAATTAGAAAACCAAAAAGATACACAAGTAGTTCAGGATGGACAGTTTCCAGAGCCAAAAGTAGATGAGGGAGAAAAACAATCCTTTACAACAAATCCACAAAAACATGGATTAAATATTTCCCTCCCGGCTAACCTTTCTTTTGTCCTGCGGGAGTTGGGATATCATAGACAATCACGCCAAGTTCCTTCTTCTCTTTCTTTTCTGCCTTTGGTTTCTTCTGTTGTTCATTAAAGAAAAAGAATTCAAATGTGATAAGAACAAGGAGAGAGGACTGTTGAATCCAATGATATAATCAAGAATGCCTGCTCACCTCTATCAGCAGTTCTTTTATCTTCTCTTGCTTCTGCTGGAACTTCTCCAACTTCTCTTTTTTCTTGGACTCTTTCTTCAACTGGGCAGCTGTTTTTGGAGGACCATTGACAACAGCAGCTGTGCTGGTTGGTGCAGCTATGGTAGGGAGATCTGAGCTCTTCAGGTCTGTGTAGGAATGCAAGACTGGTCATATCTGGACGATATTCCTATATTTTGTTGGTTCTTAAAGTGCAACTAAACCCGGCAATTTAACTGTTTCCCAAAACAGTTATATTCAAGACATGCAATAAATAACTGTTACAACTGCTTGTGGGCGCAACAAAACTATCAAGCCATCAAGTGGTTGGGGTCATAGTTGATCATATGTGCAGCACCATGGCAACCGCAGATCATACAGAGGCTAAGATGGCAGCTTCCTTGGCTGTAAAGGATATGAGGGTTTACGCTTTAAGCTTTAATCAAATGGATACACTGAGGTTTTAAAATGCACAACTAAGTTTAAATGGTCTAATTTCAGTTTATTGATTAATTTAAGTGTAGGTCTTATAAATTTTTAAGGACTTTTCTCGGTTTACCTAGATCTCCTTAAATCATTAATTATTATTTTCTCATAGCACCACATACGGGCACCCAATGTATCTGAACCCACCCTGTGCAATTCTAACTGCCCTTCTGGCAAACATGGATTCCTTCTAATACCAGGGTCTCTTGTAATATATGGCTCCTGTTTCGCATGGCTAGAATCCACCAATCATTAAGCAGCAGCCCCTCCTCTTCAGTGAGTGTTCAGCAAGATCTGTTTAGGGCATGACACAATGACCCTGGCACTGACCTCAACTTGTCCACAAAAAGGATTAATTAAATAAAAGCACATACTTGCTTCTATGGCATAACTCCCTCAGTTGCTGGAAAACTGCAGAATTTTGCTCACCGGTCAATGAGCAACAACAGAACAAAAAGCGTTGCTCAACCTGGTCCAGCCTGTGAGGGAGCAATGCCATAGCAGCTGATAGTATTTGCTCTGCTCTCTTAGCGTGTTGCCCCCATATTCAGGATTGTTGTGTGACATGGGCCATAGCCCAGGGGCGGACTGACAACTTTTTTTTACTGGATATGTTTTATAGCAAAAAGTAAAAAATATGACTTTTTTTCAAAATTGTCGATCTTTTTGGTTTATAGTGCAAAAAATGAAAAAGGCAGAGGAGATGAAAAGAGAGCTCCTGGGGCGGACTGACAACTCATGGGGCCCCTGGGCAATAGGGGATCATGGGGCCCTTGTGCCCTTGCCCAAACTCAAAAAAGCCCATGAAAAAGGTACCAGGGGCATCTCATGGGGCCCCCTACTGACCCCGGGCCCTCGGGCAGTGCCCGAGTTTCCAAATGGTCAGTCCGCCCCTGCCATAGCCCCTTCTCAGCAATCGCTTTAAGTGTGATTACAATAAACTTCAATTTCCCAATCATATGAGTTATTATACCTCCATTAAATAGTGTAAACGTTCCTATAACCTCCTTAAACTGTGGTTGGTTGACACAGGTCAGGAACCAGCGGGTAACATTGGAAAAGTTCTGCCTGGTGGAGGGAGAAATGACCTGCAATAAACAAAAGAGACGTCATATGAAGGTGGCCAAGATTAGGGGGAAATGAGGGAAGTGAAAATATACAAAAGCACAAACACATAACCCAGATCTGTTACACACAGCCTGCAGAAAGACAGTTTTTGAATAGATATAAGATACAGCAAGCATTGACGATAGCTGCTGTAAATCCCCAACCACTGGAATCAGCAGGTTAAGCTGTGAAGCATACTATGGCAGTGAATATCACAGAACGGGGTAAGCTATAGTATGTAGACAATACCTTGCTAAATGGATATATAAGACAGCAGGACACTGCGATGTCGGCAAGGCTCAGTCGCTCTCCCACTAGGTACGTGCGCACTTTCAAGTGACTGTCCAACACCTCCAGGATTTTATGCAGTTCCATACGAGCGCGGTCTCTAGTCTGGGAAAAGGTCACACACAAAATCAGGTAAAAACTTTGCAGAATAGCAACAGCTAAAATTATAGAATGGCAAAAATGGGACACTTTAAGCAGCATAAACATTTCTAAAGTATTGTAGTTACTGTGGTAGAATGGACCATTTGCAAACCTCGCTATACAGGTGACAAGTACCACTCCAATCTATCAAGACACACAGCATCCTCTCCGACAAATGAAAAGTGTCCACATCACCCAGGCAGCAATGTGAGCACCTGAAGAAGCACCCTCCCACTGTCCAAAACAAAGAAGACTCAGAATCCAGAGCAGCACATGCCCACATATCAAGTAAATGGGGCCATCATTGCGAATTATTTTCCCCCAATTTATTGGAAGCGAAGCCCTGGGTGAACATAAATTTTAAGGCTAAACTCCAGGGATAACTTTCGCATACTTACATTGGGCCAGCTTGGCACCATGTACAGTAAGTATGCATATGTAATAACCGATTGGCCTCTGTAGAAACTATAAATCACCGCAATAGCTTGAGCTACTACAGAGATAACTGTGGCCTGCGTGATGTCCTGGAAGGCTTCCCTTCTGCATAGTAACCACATGGTCATTTGTCTTGGTCATTCACCTGAATGGCATTCATACCTAGTGAGTGACCCCATCTGGTTACTATGCAGAACTATGCAGAAGGGCAGCCACTCTGCACAGCACCTGCAAGATTGCAGCCAGATCAAGGAGGAATTCAGGAAAACACACCAGCCATGCTAAGTCCACATGTTGTGTCCAGGTAATGTTGCTGTGAATGAGAAATTGAAGTGTCTGCACTATTCTCACCCACAAAGGTTTCTGCACATACTGGTCACAAACATCCCCCCTTCTGCCTTGCATGGGCAGTCCCAACGGGAAATGGCAAGTGATTTTCAATATAAATACTTGGAATCAAATCAAAATTTCACAAATTTGGGCATCAGATGTATAACTGTATTGGGGGCTACAGATTAGCTTTAAAAGGGACCAACCTGTGCAAAGGACCTGTCTCTCCCATTTATCAGATCCCAACTGTAAGCTCTCCTACATGACACCGTGGGAATGGGATCTACAGATTTTCTGGGACTTGTCAGATTGGCATTACTTCGCAGACGACTTGTCAATAATGTCACTCAATACTATCTTGATAGAATCGAATCATAAAATTCTTTTACGCTGGTATCTAGTACCAACTATGATAGCCAAGATGCATCAGTCTTCCTCTCTGAATTGCTTTCGTCAATGCAGACAGCCAGGAACGATGTTTCATGCGTAGTGGAAATGCCATAAGGTGTCCCAGTTTTGATTAAGACTTTTTAACCTCATACGCTTGGTCATGGACATCATTCTTGCTAGGGTTCCAGAAACAGCCTTGTTTCAGAAATTAAGACTCAGATATTCCAAAATGGCCTAAACGGCTAATACTATATATGCTTTTGGCGGCAGGAATCACGATAGCACCTTGTTGGAAATTAGTGGTGGAGCACTTCGATTACGTTAAATATAAATTGAACTGGATTATGGTTAATGATAAACTCACCCAAACCCTCATAATAATCTTACTAAATTTCACAAGAGCTGGGACCCCTGGATTAAGTACATTTCCCCTGTGGGCTGAGAGTGGACAAGTTCCATTATCTCTTCCACTATTGGGACACCCTCTCCTTTTTCTTTCCTTCCTTCTTTTTCTAATGGCTTTGATCTGACTCTGTTCTAGTAGATACTGATTTTTCATTGGAGTCTTTTGGACACTTTTGTGAGGATAGGGGCACCTATATATTTATCACAAGTATGGCCCTATTAGACCTTGATATGTTCCAGTTCATACTTTGTACATGCTGTATGACAGATGCTCTAAGTATTGTGATGTTTGACCTGCTCATAGGGTGCGCTTTATAAGAATAAGAACTGCCACTGACAACTTCATAATGTACTCTTTGTTAACTTGCAGATGTTCACTTTTGTTCGCTTATATGTTGTTTGTTCTTTTTGTAACCGCAACATTTATGGCACATTCATTTTGTATTGTTTGAAAAATGTTAATAAACAGATTAATAAATAAAAAGGGATTGACTGCTATGTGTAAGTTCATTTTTAAAGAACTCTTACCGGTTTGTGGTCGACGCCATAGGCAGTTGGCAGCACATCGGATTCTGCATAGTTTACCCACTGTTTGATGAGAGAGAAGCTTCGCTGGTTCCCATCCCCTGAGATAGATTCAGGGGCTAGCATGTAAGAGACAGCCCAAGCCCCCCATACAGATCCAGTGGAAGGAGACAAAAGGCATGGTAGGGGAAGGTCCCGGGGCCCCGAAGAGACTTCTTTCACCTCGGGGCGAGGGTGAGGTGAGAACTGGCTACAGACACGCACCCAGGTGCATCGTGGATCTGAGGTAGAAGACTGAGGAAGGTAGAGGGTAGACATCGTGGCACGGGGGAGTAAAGACCTGCAGATGGAGAGAGAATGTGTCAAGAATCCTGTTTACATCGCAATTACCTTGCAGTGACTCACAGCATGTCTCATCCCAACAATAAATAGCGGTCCACTGACACACCCATCTGTGTTATCATTAGAGATGCACTAGCTGATTAATTGTACACATTACACTGCTTTCTTTTAACATTTCATCATATGAGGTGTGATATCATCCCCATGTAACATTTTACAAGCTGGATAAAGATAAGTAATGAGGTTTGTTAGATATGTAAATAACATTAGAGATGCAATAGGTGAATACTTTTTACAGCACCCTAGGTGCCTGTCCTGTCCATAGTCCTGGAACAGTGTAAAAAAAGCACATTTTTATTCTAGAAACTGGACGCTGTGTGTAGCACAAATGACCAAATCAAAAATCATCAAAGCTGTAAATAATTAGAAGACTGTGGAGACATAGAGCAGTACAAGACACTGTTCACAGCCAATGGCCTGTTCACAACAATGTATCTCATTAAAGTGTATAATCAGCCCAAACTTTATTTTTATTTTGGATAGAGGGAGTTGAGTGCCGATTAGAATCTTTATCAGGATTTTAATCTATCTGGAACTTCCCCTTAATGTGGACACAGTAACTACCATTTCACCAGGTAGGAATGAAAGGAAAACCAGCACCAGGTACACGAACAGCAATAAAAATCTTACAAGGATTCTAGCCTTCCCCTACCCTACTAAAAATGTTATTATTTCTGCCTATGTCTTTAGCAAAATAAGTGAGGAGATATCCCAGACTGCATCAAAATCAGAAAGGATTTCTAATCTTTCCCCACGCAGTAAAATACATTTTTGGTTAAACATTTAAGACTTCATTCACAACTATGTGCATTTTTGTGTGGGGTACAGTTCACTTTCAATGGGCCTTTAACAAGCTTCATTGCACAGAAAAGTACTTATTGCGTTGGAACACATACACATTTACATACACATGTTGTGGTAAACTAAAGTGAAATGCATTGGCCAAAAGCCAACACATACAGTATGTCACAGAAGTGAGTACACCCCTCACATTTTGTATTTTACATTTTGTAAAAATTGTATTCTATCTTTTCAACAACACTGAAGAAATAACACTTTGCTACAATGTGACATAGTGAGTGTACAGCTTGTATAACAGTGTAAATTTGCTGTCCCCCCTCAAAATATCTCAACACACAGCCATTAATGTCTAAACCGCTGGCAACAAAAGTGAGTACACCCCTAAGTGATAATGTCCAAATTGGGCCCAATTAATAATTTTCCCTCCCCAGTGTCATGTAACTCGTTAGTGTTACAAGGTCTCAGGTGTGAATGGGGAGCAGGTGTGTTACATTTGGTGTTATCGCCCTCACTCTCTCATACTGGTCACTGGAAGTTCAGCATGGCACCTCATGGCAAAGAACTCTCTGAAGATATGAAAAAAGAATTGTTGCTCTACATAAAGATGGCCTAGGCTATAAGAAGATTGCCAAGACCCTGAAACTGACCTGCAGCACGGTGGCCAAGACCATGCAGCGGTTTCAATGGCAGTGCTGGGGGGAGGATGGGGTCAATGGTACTGCTGGTTGGGGGGGATCATTGGCATGGCTGGGGGGAAAGGAATGAGTGGCTGTGCTGGGGGGGGGGAGATGGAATGAGTGGCAGGGCTGGGAGGAATGGAATGAGTGGCAGTGCTGGTGGAGAGATGGGATCAGTGACAGTGCTGGGGGAGGGATGGAATGAGTGGCAGTGCTATGGAGAGGGTGGGATCAATGGTAGTGCTGGTGGGGAGGATCATTGTCAGTGCTGGGGGAAAGGAATGAGTGGCTGTGCTGGTGGAGGGATCACTGGCAGTGACCGGGGGGGGGGGGGGGGGGAAGGAATGAGTGGCTGTACTGGTGGGGGGATGGGATCAGTGGCAGTGCTGGTGGAGGGATGGGATGTGTGGAAGACCAGTGCTGGGGGGGAAGCATATGCTGTATGCACACCATTTCTCCAGAGACTAGCGTTTCTTAGTCGCATTTAGGAGCATTACAGTTTTATTAGCATTTTTACAGTACACGCAGAAAAAAAAAAACCTAGAAAAAAAGCTGTTGGGAGCGTTAAGTATTTTTTTCTGCCAGAAAACCGCACTCAAAAACTTTACTTTTTTCTGCTCCTAAACACTTAAGCTTGAAAAATACTACTAGCATAAAATCGTGTGCATGGACACATAGGATAACACTATGTAGCTTCTAGAAGCAGAAGAAAATGCTGATAACAGCTTCTAGGAGCATAAAAAACCCACTAGTGTGCATGGAGCCTTAATGCTTTCTGAGGCATTGGCTCAAAACATGTATGTGGATCAGGAGTGCCCACTTTACTTACTGTATGCTTTTTTTCAGTACAATAGCAAGTGTTGGCCATGAGGCATCCAACTTTTACAGAAGAAGGTCAGTCATCATGGCCTACAGACTTCTCCCTGTACAAATTATTCCATGTATAGTTAATATTTAGTAAAATGCCTGTCACTTTCTCAATGTTTTACCAAGTCTGTTGATATGCCTACCACTCTGTGACATTTGTGAGTGCAATACATTTTGTTTTTATGACATTTCATTTAAGAAAATGTACTGCACCAGTGGCTGCTTGGCGCCTCTCTCTCTCTCTCGCAGTGCTTGGGTTCCCAGCCCATTTGAAGAGGCATCCTCATTCAGTCAGCTGATCCAGCAGTTCATTAAAGTGTTACTAAACCCACAACAGTACAATCAGTCTGTATATGAAGTAAAGCATGTTTGTTATACTCACTGTGGAACCTAAGGGGTTAAACCTCTGCACTGTGTAAAAAGGCTGTTTGATCCTGTATTCTCTGATCCTCCCCTTCTTCCAGTGTCTGCCTCCTATCTCCTGATAAGGCATATCACGTGGAGCCACTGCACATGCTCAGTTTGGTGTGTATTGCTAGAGGTTTTTTTTCTCCTTCGTAGAGTGCATGTAATCAGCACAGGGTCAATCAGCACTGTCCAGGCAGAGGTCAGGGGTTCTAAATCCTTCTAGAGCAGGAAGAAAACTCCTCTTACAAGCTTTAACCAGTGCTCAGCTGAACACTGATAGAAGTCACAACACTGCTCTAACTGCTGATGAGAAAAGGTATTTAGCAGTTTATATTTACTAAAATTACATTTCTATGTTGTGTGTACTATTGGAGATCAGATAGTGAATGCAGGGTCCTGGGTTTAGTAACACTTTAATTAGCCTAGAGCCTATACCTCCAGGACTATTGTATTGTTTTGCTTTGTATACATTGTAATTTTTTTTTCCCTAACAGAATACAATACATTGTAACTTTTAGTGTTTATTGATACAAACTTCCTTGACAGTCCATTTTCACTTTCCTTATACTTTGACAGTTTTCCTTTTCAGCTTACATTTATTACTGCCATTCTTAAACATGACTTCTAATCCCCATACACTATCCCATTTGGATTGGACAGACAACAGTATTTGGTCTTTTAGCAAGAGGAGCGCTGAGCTTATTAGTTAATTCTTGTCATCTAGATGTGGCTGTGGGTATGTTTTATCATCTTTATAGGCAGCCCTGGATCTCTGAAACCTAGAACTGCATACCCAGGATTGGAATTCAGAATTTGAAATTTCAAACATCCCCTGGTCAAGGAAAGACCTGCCCCACCCCAGTGATCTGTGAAGTCACCTATCACAGTAATGACTAATAGAGAACTGTAAACCCTTAGTTTTGTCAGTACTCATCTTCCCTGTCAGAAGCCATCATTTGCATATTAATGGGTCAACCAATCGAAATGTATGCACTTCACAGAACACACAATTCCTATGCATTAAGTTGAAAAACCTTTTGTGCTGCAGAATCCTCCCCCCCTTTATACTTACCTGATCCAGGGATGTGCACAAAAGCAGCATCTCTAGCTGCTGCCTCCCTCCTCATTGGGCAGATTGATAGCAGCGGGAGCTATTGGCTCCCACTGCTGTCAATTAAATGCTGTGCTGAGCCAGCAGGGGGCAGGGCAGAGCAGGGCTGAGACAGCCGCTCTGTGTCAATGGACGCAGACAGGGCGGCTCAGGAGCAAGCCCGCATGGGTGCCCCCATTGAAAGTGGTTTTCTATGGTGGCACCCGCTGAAGGGAGGAGCCTGGAGCAATAGAGAGGGACCCCAAAAGAAGAGGATTGGGACTTCTCTGTGAAAAACCATTCCACAGAGCAGGCAAGTATACCATGTCTGTTATTTTGGTTATTTACCACGTTAAATAAAGTGTTGCTTTAATATTTTGATCATTCTCATTGAGTTTATTCATAAAATTCTCAAGGATCCTACCCAAACACTGATTGTAAATATATCTATTATTTATAGGTATTGGAGACTAGATCCAGTTACGTGTGTTTTTAACACATACATTTTGGAGTGACCCTTTATCATATAAAAATGTTTGTAGATGTTTTTTACTTTTTTATTTTACTATATTGATCACTCCAAAACAAAACTGATGAAAGAAAAAAAAAAGTCTGAACCCACCAGAACAAGCCACCCAGGAGTCCCCTGTAATGGACCAATGATCTGTGACCACTGCCACTTATGACTGGTCCACTACAGGTGACAACTTCCGCGCGGGGGCTCCATCAAGTGAGCTCAGACTTGGATCCAAACATGCCCGAGCTCATCGCTACACTCTGATTGGACATGGCGATGACAGTGGGTGGAGCTTAGCTATGAAGTCACAGAAAGTCAGACCCTCATAACAAAGTGAAACTACATCAGAGAGGGGCACAGAAATGGGGTCTAGGCTCACAATGTGACTAGCAGAGTCTTCCACGAGACTTTTACCATTTAGGGGGTCACCAGAACATCTGGAAATCATGGCCAGTCCTCAGCTCTGCTCTCTGTAGAACACGTGGTCCTCCAGGGGACCCATACAATGGGAGTTCTGTAATCCCTCAGCACATGGACAGCTAAGGTCCAGTCATGT